GGCGCCGTCGCCGAGCAGTCGAACGAGCGCGGCGACGCGCCCGTGGCCCGCCGCCTTGTGTATCGCGGCGACGCCGAAGTCGTCTCTCGCGTTGACGTCCGCGCCGAGCGTCAGCAGGAGGTCCTGAGGGTACGAAGCGACGTGACGTANGTCGGGGTGGAGTCGAAAGGCGTCTTCACTCCGAGTTGCTTCTATGCGACGTCGCGGACGCACGGGGCACGGCGCCGAGAGAGACGAACGCCGGGGGATAAAAAAAGTCCTTAAGGAATCGCGTTCACAACGCCGACGCGGTCGTATGGGGACAGGTGTGATGAATATGAATACGCACCACGACCTTCTCGTGCCCTCGCCACGCGGCGATCGCCAGCGGCGNGACNCCGNGCGNGTNCCGCCGCCGCGTCACGGGCGTCGCCGTCGTCGCGTCGTCGCCACGCGCCGTCGCCGTCCCACAACGCCTCCACGTCCAGCTCGACGACGCGCCGGCCCGCGGAGCTCTCGCGCCGCCGCATCGCTTTAAGGATTGGCGTTCACCACGCGACCGCGGTCGTACGGGGACCAGTGCGCTCGCTCGCGAGCGCGGCGCGGCGCGCTGTTCTTTTCTTCTAGCGAGCCGCCCTACTGGTGTGCTTCTTCTAGCCCTACTGTGCTCGTACTGTATATCCCGCGAAGAGAAGGCGCGCGACGCGTACTGTATGGAAAGGAGTCTGACGACGACGACGACGACGAGAGGCGCTCGGGTGCGTTCTATACGAGCGATGATATCGGAGTGGAGTTGAAAGGCGTCAGAAGCGGAGTTGAAAGGCGGTGAGGGCGGGGATTGAAAGCGAGGGATGAGCGGAGAGATGCGCCGGGAAGTAAAGTCCTTAAGGATCGGCGTTCACCACGCCAACGCGGTCGTACGGGAACCGGTGTGAGATAGAACGCACCTCACGCTCACGCGGTCGTCATGTCCACGTCCTCGGTCGCGTTCGCGTCGTACTCCTCCCACTCGTCGTCGTCGTCGTCGTCGTCGTCGCCCGGCAGCGACGCGGCGGCCTCGGCGAGCGTCTCCGCGTCCCCCCCCGCGCTGAGGGCCATTCCATACAAGCGAACGTCGGGGTGGAGTTCAAAGGCGTCAGTTGGAGTTCAAAGGCGTCGAGGGCGGGGATTGAAAGCGAGGGGTGAGCGGAGAGACACGACGGCAAAAGTCCTTAAGAAACGGCGTTCACCACGCGAACGCGGTCGTATGGGGACCAGTGTATAGAACGCGCCTGGCTTTCCCCGCGCGCAGGAGCGTCTGTATCTTCGCTCCGAGCGCCTTCCGCGTCGGCTTGAAGGCGACGTTGCGCTTGGCGATCTTCGAGCGCTTCTCCCTGAGGGTCGTCGCCCATACGAGCGAATGTCGGGGTGGAGTTCAAAGGCGTCAGAAGCGGAGTTCAAAGGCGTCGAGGGAGGTGTGTCGGGATCGAAAGCGAGGGGTAATGGGCGGAGAGATGCGCCGGGAGATAAAGTCCTCAAGGAACGGCGTGCACCTCGCCGACGCGGTCGTACGGGGACCAGTGTGAGAAGAACGCGCCTCAGCCCCGCGATCTTGTGCTTGAGCGCGCGCCGGGCTTGGACCTTGAGCGCGTGCGCGGCGCGACCGCCGCCGCCGCTCGTCGACGCTTCCTTCTCCGCGAGTTTCACGTCCTCGCGCGCGGCGGCGAGGGTCGCGTCCGCGGCCGCCATGGCGACATCGCCGTCGCCGTCGCGCGGCGCGCCGCCGTTCGCGGTGGTCGGATCCCTCGCCTCCTTCGCCGCCCTCGCGGCTTCTCTCTGACGCTTCTTCGCCGCCTTGACCTTGCGCGTCTGCTTCTTCTTCACCGCGCGCTGCTTCATGCGACGAGGGCGGCGATCGCTGTGGCGGCGTCGGCACGCGCGACAGAACAAACACCCGCGTGTGGCCATAGGCCACAGCAGTTGCGCTAACTCGATCAGACTAAAAAACCATAGAGTACGAGTACGCAAAATTCGTATGGAATCTTAGTCTGATACAGCATTTTCGCCTAGCGCGTAGCGCGAGTCAGTTCTACGGTCCCTGTACTGTAGTACTGTAATAACCTCTCTGTCTATCTGTGGAGTTTGCGTGGCGCGGATCTTTGCCAGTTGTCAGAGGCTCCCGTCGCTCGCTCGTTCATCATTCTTCCTCCGCGCAGAGAGAGAGCCCCGCCCCCCGTCGTTCACGATGGCCTCCTTCACCATGGCCGCCGCCGCCCCCGCGAAGACGATGAGCAGCAAGTACTCCATCGGCCGCGCCAAGCCGCTCGGCGCGCGCGGTGCGTCCTCGATCCCTCCTCGGCGACGAGCGATATTTTCCGCCCCTCGCGCGTCCCGCGTCGCCGGATAGCGTTCTTCGCTCGATGGGATCGATCGTTCGATCGATCGACCGGACCGAACCGATCCGCGCTCCCCCCCCGCGCCGCGGTCGCCGCGCCGGACGCGTCGCTCGCGACCCCACTCAACCCTCGTCCGTCCATCCCTCTCTCCCTCCCTCCGTCTCTCCCTCCTACGCGCGCAGCCGCGCCGCGCGTCGCGGCGAAGCCCTCGCGCGCCGCGCGCCTCGCCCTCCGCGCGGCCGCGCAGCAACTCGAGATCGTCCCCGACGACCCGAGCAACTACACCATCGGCATCCTCGGCGACCTGCACTGGGACCCGCGCGATACCGCGCACTCGCTCGAGGGGCGCGATCACATGAAGGCGGTGCTCGACGCCAGCCCGAACCCGTTCCTCGTGTCGCTGGGAGATCTCGGCGAGAGCAAAGGCGCGTTCTGTATCACACCGGTCCCCATACGACCGCGTCGGCGTGGTGAACGCCGATCCTTAAGGACTTTTGCCGGCGTCTCTCTCCGCCCACACCTCGCTTTCAATACCCGCCCGCGTTGCCTTTCAACTCCGCTTCTGACGCCTTTGAACTCCACCCCGACGTTCGCTCGTGTGGAATGGCCCAAAGATTGCACCGAGTCCAAGCAGCTCTACGCGGGGACGACGGAGTGCTTCAAGACTGTGCGCGCGTACCTCGACGGGTTCGGGCACAAGTACGACATCGTGGGGGGGAACCACGACCTCGAGGGGATCGACGAGTTCTCCACGGACAAGGCTAACCTCGCGGCGTACTTGGAACACATGGGGAAGGAGACGCCGCAGTTTTGCTACGAGATCGCGCCCAAGACGCTCATCGTCGGCCTCGGCAGCACGCAGGTGCGTTCTATACATAAGTTTTTCACCCATCGTTCGGTTTCATCATTTGATCGCGTCCCCTTTCAACTGACCGATGAACTTTTTTTGTATGGAATGGCCCGCAGTTCCGCGACGCCACGTACACCTCCCACGAGGTCGCCGTGGACCAGGAGCAGCTCGACTGGTTCGTGAAGACGGTCGAGGAGCACCCGTACGAGGACGGGTGGCAGATCTTCTGCTTCTCGCACGCGCCCGTGATCGGCTCCGGTCTCCGCGTCCTGCAGGAGTGCCACGTCGTCAACGGCTGCTGCTGGCTCAACCACAACGACCCCGTGGCGTCGAAGCTCTTCATCAACACCGTGCGCCGCAACCCGCAGATCAAAGGGTGGTTCTCCGCGCACTTCCACCTGTCGCACGATTACGAAGACTCCATCACGTTCCCCGGGGGGAACAACCGCGGCAGCGCCATCTTCGCGCAGACTGGAGTGATGACGGCGCGGTCGTCGCGCGACGGCCGCCGACACTCGCGCATCGTGCGCGGCAACTCCAAGGGGTTCGAGGTGTGCACGGTGGACCACGCCAAGGGCGGCGCCGTGCGCCTCGACGCGACCGTCCTCTTCAGCGACCAGTGCGAGATCGACTACGAGAACGATCAGGTGCGTTCTATACACTGGTCCCCATACGACCGCGTCGGCGTGGTGAACGCCGATCCTTAAGGACTTTTGCCGGCGTGTCTCTCCGCCCACCCCTCGCTTTCAATCCCCGCCCGCGACGCCTTTCAACTCCATCTGACGCCTTTGAACTCCACCCCGATATCATCGCTCGTATGGAACGACCCTCAGACGGACGACGCGCTCAACGGCTGCTCCGTGATGACCTTCGCGCACGAGCACGAGGACTACGATCACGACCTCTGGTTCTCCGCGTACACGCCGTCCGAGGACGACGGGTGCCGCGTGAACGAGCCGTGCGGCGAGATCGACGGCGACTTCTCCTCGCGCGACCCGGTGAAGTGGTGGTTCATGAAGGACGGCGCCGTGATGGGCGGGCACAACGGCATGATCATCGAGTACGATCCGTCGACGCTCGCGCCGCTCGGGATGGTCGTCTCGAGGTGAGTCCTCTCTTCTTCCTTTACTTTTCGCGCTTTTCGCGGCGGCCGGCGCGTCTCTTCTCTCGAACACCACACGATATGACACGTCATCACGTATTGTCCAATCGCATCACGACGCGTACGCGCGCGCGCTGACCTATCACGCGCCCTCGCAGAGACGAGCTCGAGAACCGCCGCGTGGCGATCATCGACGACGAGTGGGGCGGCGACGCGCTCTGCCTGTTCGACGACGACACCGGGGACGTCACCGTCGTGCAGCCGAACGAGGACGGGTCGTACTGGAGGAAGGTTGTCCGGAACAAGATGCACAGGATGAAGGAGATGCGTCGCGTCGCCGCCGCGAAGAATTACTTCAAGAAGATGAAGGGCGAAGACGTGGAGCTGAACGTTCTGTCGTCGTACGGACCGTACACCGGGACCGCGGGGCAGGTCATGGGCATCTCCACGCGCGCGATCAACCCGAAGGCGGTGGCGAACAAATGAGTAACTAGACCGAATACCGACGCGCGAGAAGAGAAGAGGTCGCGTAGAAGGAGAATTCGTTTCGATTGAATGTTCAAAATAAATTGTACAAACGTAATAAACGTCCCGCACGCGCGCCGCGCCGCGCCGCGCGTCCATCCATCCCGCGTCGGTCACGCGTCTCCGGCGCCCACGCCCCTGGCCTCCGCGTCGTCGTCGAACTCCGGCATCGCGGCGAGCTCGTCCTCGTCCGCGATGAGCTCCGCGGGGATCGTCTCCGCGCGCGGCAGCCCCGGACGCGCGCCGAGCTGCGTACGCGTGGCGTGATGCGATTGGACGAAATGAGATGACGTGGCACATCGTGTGGTCGGTGGTCGAGAGAAGAGAAAAAGGTGGAAGAAAAGTTATCCTCGAGAAACGGCGCGCGCCGCGCGAACGGGGTCGCGCGGGGACCAGTCTCGCTCACCTCGCGGCACTTCCTCGCGGCGACGTACGACCCCAAACGCATCGCGCGCGTCAAGTCGAACCCGTTGGCGATCCCGTAGCACATCGACCCGATGAACGAATCCCCCGCGCCGGTGGTGTCCACCACGGCTGACTTCGTCACGAGGCACGCGGGCGCGAAAGTGACGTCGCACGGCCCGACGGCAGCCGCAGCGTCGTCCCTGCGCGGGTGAAGCGAACGGTCAGTCTAACGTCTTACCGGTCAAACGTTGAAAGGGAAGCGCGGGTGAAGAGTGACGACGGGAAAAGTCCTTAAGGAACGGCGATCAACACGCGAACGGGGTCGTATGGGAAGCAGTCTCACCCGGCGTCGATCAAGTACGCCGCCTTGGAGGTCAGCGGCGGCGACGGCACGGGCGTCTGTTTCGGGCTCGGGATGCCTCTCTTGACGCCTGATTGATGGGATGGGTATGTCGAGGGAGGGAGACAGACGAGACGCGCGTCGGATCAGGTACGCGGGCGCGATATCGGTGGATGGAATTGAATGGAATGGAATGGAATTCCCCGCGTGGCGCGACGTGAGGTTCCGAGCTCGCGCGCGAAAGGAAAGAACGCGAGTCATCCTCGAGGAGGAACGGCGCGCGATCGGATCTTCGGACGCGCCTGACTCGAGCGCGGCCAGCAGCTCCTTCAGCGTCGTCGTCTTCGGCGCGTCTCCCTCCCTCTCTTTCTCGCCGGCGCCGCCGCCCCAGTCGTCCACCCTGCGAATCATCACCGACCCGCGCGCGCCGAGCGTCGTGACGAGCGCCCTGGCGCGCGGCAGCGACGCCAACGTCTTCACCATCGCCGTCTCCAACTCCAGATTCTCCTCGCCGTCGCCGCTCGCCGCCGCGGCGTGCGCTTTCGGGTACTCTGTGGGAGGAGAGATGCGCCGGGTGGTAAAGTCCTTAAGAAACGGCGTTCACAACGCGAACGCGGTCGTATGGGGACCAGTGTGAAACGAAAACGTACCCGTGCTCGTGCACACGTAGTCTCCGTGCGTCAACAGCGTCTCCAGGCCGTCGCGCGGCCGCTCGCCTTCGACGAGCACGGGCACGCCGGCCGCGTTCGCCGCGCGCGCGACTCGAATCGCAACCTCGGTGAGCCGCCCGTCGAAGTAGACGAGGTCGGCGCCTTCGATGAGTCTCTGCGCGAGCGAACGTCAGTCGGGGCGGAGTTGAAAGGCGTCGGGGGTGGAGTTGAAAGGCGTCGATGCGTGTCGGGATTGAAACCAGCGAGGGGTGATGGGCGGAGAGAAATGCACGCCAGCCGGGAAGTAAAGTCCTTAAGGAATCGCGTTCACCGCGCCGACGCGGTCGTATGGGGACCAGTGCGAGATGGGACGCGCCTCGACGGCGTCGTCCGGCATCTCCTCCGCGCGAAACTCCGGCCCCGGGGTGTGAATGCACGTGCGCGTGCTCCCCTCGCGGTCGACGATGATGTACGTGAACGGCGAGCTCTTCCCTGGCTCGACGACGACGCTCTCGCACCCGACGCCCTCGCGTCGGAACTCGTCGAGGATCGCGACGCCGGCGCCGTCGTCGGAGAGTTTGGTCAAGATGGACGCCTTCGCGCGCGCCGGGGTGAGGTTCAAAGGCGTCAGGGGTGGCGTTGAAAGGCGCCGAGGGCGGGGATTGAAAGCGAGGGACCCTGGGCGGAGAGACACGCCGAGAGATGACGAAAGTCCTCAAGGATCGGCGTTCACCACGCGAACGCGGTCGTACGGGGACCAGTGTGAGATAGATAGAACGCGCCTCCGCGCCGAGTCGCGCCATCGCGACGAGCGCGTTCCCCGCGTTCCCGCCCCCCTGCGTCTCGAACGCGTCCGTGCGGAGCTTCGCGTCGGGCTTGGGGAACGACGCGATGGACGCGAGGTAGTCCACGCCCGCGGACCCGACGCCGACGATCTTCTTCTCGCGAGGAGACGCGGCGGAGGCGGAGGAGGCGGAGGAGGAAGAGGCGGCGGATCTTAGGACGACGGTCGCGCGCCGCGACGTCGCCGGCGCCGCGCGGGCGCGACGCGCGCGCGGCGAGGCGCGCGCGAGGGACGGCGGCGGCGACGGCGACGGCGACGACGCGCGCGACGCGAACATCGTGCGCGCGGGCGTGGCGGCGGCGGCGGCGTGCGACGGCGGCCGCGCGACGCGTCGTGGCGTTCGCCGATCGACGGACGACACCGACGCGCGCCTCGCCCCGTCAGCGACGGGTGGCAGCAGTGGCGCTCGGAATTTTGCGTACTCGTACTCTATGGTTTTTTAGTCTGAATCGAATGAGCGCACCTTGTCTATCTTATCTCGACTCTCGACACTCCTCACGAGATCGCACTCCTCACACGCCGCGCGCGCACCCCTCCCCGCACGCCCGGCACCTCTCCCCACCCCACCCCATGGCCGCCCTCGCGTCCCCACTCCGCGCGTTCCCCGCGAGCGCGGCGGCGGCGTCGTCGTCGCTCCGCGCGCGCGCCGCGAAGCCGCGCGGCGGACGCGCGGCGTCGTTTTCGCGCGTCGCCGTCGCCATGTCGGTCGCGACGACCGACGAGGCGTCCGTGCGCGCGCGAACCGCGCCCGCGGGCCTCGGCTCCACGTTCACGACGTGGCTCCTCAAGGAAGAGATCGGCGGCCGCGTCGACGGCGAGCTCGCGATCGTGCTCTCCTCCGTCGCGCTCGCGTGCAAGCAGATCGCGAGCCGCGTCCAGCGCGCGCCCGTCGCGGGCGACACGGGGCTCGCGGGAGACGTGAACGTCCAGGGCGAGGACCAGGTGTGTAGGCGCGCGAAAGCGAAACTCCTTTCGTTCGCCTCCTTTCGAGCCCGCGTCGTGCGGGTCAACGCGCGCGCGTCGCTTTCAAATACTGTACCGTAGTCGCGCGCTGACCGATGCGTAAACCAACTTACTGTGAACACACAAAACCGACGCAGAAAAAGCTCGACGTGGTCGCGAACGAGATTTTTTGCGACGTCCTCAGGTGCGTTCTATACACTGGTCCCCATACGACCCCGTTCGCGTGGTGAACGCCGATCCTTAAGGACTTTGCCCGGCGTTTCTCTGCGCCCACCCCTCGCTTTCAATCCCCTCCTTCGACGCCTTTCAACTCCAACTGACGCCTTTCAACTCCACCCCGACGTTCGCTCGTATGGAACGGCCCTCAGAACGTCCGGCCGCACCGGCGTGATCGCGTCCGAGGAGGAGGACGTCCCCGTCGCGGTCGAGGAGACGTACGCGGGGAACTACGTCGTCGTGTTCGACCCTCTGGACGGGTCCTCGAACTTGGGTGCGCGCGCTTTCGCTCACTCGCGCGGCGCGGCGTTCGTATGCCTGACTGCGTCCCATACAAATCCGCCGCCGCGCGAATCGAATCGAATCGAATCGAATCCGCCGCGCGATCCGTCATCTATCTGCCACGTCATCGAATCTGATCACTCGCTGACCGATCCTGTCCACGCGTTCACGATCTCATCAGACGCCGCCGTCAGCACCGGATCCATCTTCGGCGTGTACGACAGCGACGAGCAGTGCGTCCCGGATTTCGACGCCGAGGACGACGCGGCTGTGGAGGAAAAGTGCATCGCCAACGTGTGCCAGGCGCGTCCTCTTCATCTTCATTCACACCGGTCCCCATACGACCGCGTCCGCGCGGTGAACGCCGTTCCTTAAGGACTTTTCCCGGCGTCTCTCTCCGCCCACACCTCGCTTTCAATACCCGCCCGCGTTGCCTTTCAACTCCGCTTCTGACGCCTTTCAACCCTCGACCCTCAGAGCGGCAACAACCTCCAAGCCGCGGGCTACTGCATGTACTCCTCGTCCACGATGCTCGTGCTCACCGTCGGCGACGGCGTGTACATGTTCACGCTGGACGCGTCAATCGGCGAATTCGTGATGTCGCACGAGAGAGTGCGGATCCCCGAGCGCGGACGCATCTATTCCTTCAACGAAGGCAACGCGAAGGCGCGTTCTATCTCACACTGGTCCCCATACGACCGCGGTGGCGTGGTGAACGCCGTTCCTTAAGGACTTTATCTCCCGGCGTCTCTCGGTAGACCAGACTACGCATGCGCCGGCGCCCGCGCGACCGCGTTCTGTCTCGCACTGGTTCCCACGCGACCGCGTTCGCGCGGCGCGCGCCGATCCCTAACGACGCCTGCCTTTCAACTCCACCCCTGACGCCTTTCAACTCCGACCGACGCCTTTCAACTCAGAACTGGAGCGAGGGGTTGAAGCGGTACGCGGACGATCTCCGCGCGGGCGGGATCGATCAGAACGGCAAGCCGTACAGCGCGCGATACATCGGGTCGCTCGTGGGCGATTTTCACAGGACGCTGCTGTACGGCGGCATCTACGGGTACCCAGGAGACGCGAAGAATCCAAACGGGAAGCTGCGACTGCTGTACGAGGTGCGTTCTATATCACACTGGTCCCCATACGACCCCGTCGGCGTGGTGAACGCCGATCCTTAAGGACTTTTGCCGGCGTGACTCTCCGCCCAGGGTCCCTCGCTTTCAATCCCCGCCTACGATACCTTTCAACTCATCCTGACGCCTTTCGACTCCACCCCGACGTCGCTTCGTATGGAACGGCCCTGAGTGCGCGCCGATGAGTTTCATCGCGGAGCAGGCGGGCGGCATGGGGAGCACCGGAACCGGGAGGGTCATGGACGTGGAGCCGAGCGAGGTGCACCAGCGCGTGCCGTTCTACGTCGGGAGCGCGAAGGAGGTGCAGTACCTCGAGTCGTTCTTAGCGTGAGCGACGACGAGGACTTTGATGAACCGACTGACGCGCGAATCGAATCGTACAGTACGACGTTTATCCCGCCGCGTCCAGTCTCTCAACACTGAAGGCCATTCCATACAAAAATAGTTCATCGGTCAGTTGAAAGGAGACGCGATCAAATGTTGAAACCGAGCGATGGGTGAAAAAACGTTTGTATAGAACGCACCTGAGCTGATAACTGACACTGACTCGGCTCAATTCTCATTTGCAACGCGCGCACGACGCGGACGCGCCCCCCCCGTCCCCCGTTCCGTTCGCGCGTTCCTCTCTTCTTCTCCGGGGCCCGCCCGCCCGCGCGCGCGCGCTCCGATGTTCGCGGTCGCGCGACCGACGCGCGGCGAGACGATCGCGACGGGCGTCGTCGCCACGACGCGCGCGGAGCGCGCCATCTTCAGGTGCGTTCTATACAAAAAGTTTTCACCCATCGCCCGGTTTCAACATTTGATCGCATCCCCTTTCAACTGACCGGTGAACTATTTTTGTATGGAATGGCCCTTAGTCTCGCTCTCGCGCGCGACCACGACGCGGCCGCGCGCGTCGTCCTCGCGCTCGCGCCGTTCCGCGCGCTCGCGGCGCGCGCGCGGCGCGCCCTCGCGCTCGACGACGACCCGCGCGGCGTCACCGCGCTCGAGGCGACGCTCGCGCGCGTCGCGCTGGTGCTCCCGGCGCTGTACCCTCGCGTCGTCGTCCCGACGGCTTTCGCGATCCTCGGCGGCGTCGCCGCGTCGTCGCCGCGCGTCGGCGGAAACGGCGGGGATCGAACCGGCGGCGCGGACGCCGACGCCGACGCGCGCGCCGCCGCCGCGGCCGCGCGCGAGCGCGTCTCCGCGTCCGCCGCGCGCGCGTTCCTTGAGCGCGTCGCGCGCGTCGCGGAGCGAGCGAACGCGGCGTTGGCGTGGTGCGCGCATTATTTCTCGCATTATTATTCTCGCGTTTTTCACCCGCCCTGCCGCTCGGGGTCGACGTTTGATCGCGAAACGGTCCCTTTCAACTGACCGATGAACGCACTTTTTTCGCACTACCGTCCCGCCAGGCACGACCCCGCGGCGACGCGCGCGCTCGTCGTCGTCGCCGTCGCCGTCGCCGTCGCGTCTCTCCTGCTGCCGACGCGCGTCGTCCTCGCGCTGACGCTGCTGTGGCTCACGACGCCGCGCGGCGTAGGGTTAGGGTTAGGATTAGGGTTAGGATTAGGGTTAGGGTTCGGCGGGGGGACGTCAGGGTGGGGCTCGGGGCGCGACAAGAGCGCGGCGTTCGCGCGCTTGACGCGCGCGCATTCGGCGGCGCGCGAACGCGCTGATGTCGCGAGATAGATCTACAGTAGACGCGGGGAGGAGACCCTGACTACTAAATTAATTAACGCATTATCCTCGTGCGTTACGTTACGACGCGTACCCGCGAGCCCGCCTTCTCAGACGAAGCCCGCCCTCCTCTCCGCGCCGCGGGAAAGAACGGACGGCTGGCGCGCGATTTTTACGCGGCTGCGGTGGGGTGTTAGCTAGCGGCGCGGCGTCGTCGAAGGGCTTTCTTTGCGCTTCCCTTCGCATAGGATACGTAGGTGTAAAGTAGTTTTATTGATTTGCATCGAGTCGAGGGTACACGAGTGTAATCAACCTCCCCCCTCCTCTCCTATCCTCTCCTCTCCTTCCAGAAGTCCCGTTTCGATTTCGCTTTCGCGTCGGCATTTCATTTCAACGCGGACGTCGCGCGCTTGATGGCCACCTTGATCGCGTCCCTCGTCAGCTCCGTCACGACGTGGATCTCCTGCACCTGCCGTCCCGCGCGCGCGAGGAGATTATACCCGTCCTCCACGTTGGCGTTGGTGAGCCACAGCTCGAGGTCCTGCGAGACGACTCTCTGCTCGATCGCCTGAGGGTCGAGGGTCGTTCCGTCGTTCAAAGCGACGTCGGGGCGGCGTCGAAAGGCGTCAGAAGCGGAGTTGAAAGGCGTCGAGGCGCGTCGGTCGGGATTGAAACCAGCGAGGGGTAGTGAGCGGAGAGTGACGACCGCCTGCCGGGGGATAAAGAAAGTCCTCAAGGATCGGCGTTCACCACGCGAACGGAATCGTGCGGGGACCGGTGCGGTACTATCATAGAACGCGCCTGGCGGCCCGGGATGACGGCGTCGATGCCATCCTCCGCGAGCAAGTTGGCGCATATGTCGTTCAAACCCGGCAACGGCGCGTCCGCGAGCTCGTCGTCGTCCACGCTCGGCTCGGGCATCGCCACCGGCATGATCGTGTCCAGAGTCTCCAGCAGCGGATCCGCGGTGAGCTGCTTAAGCGAAAACGTCACTCGCGCGTTTGTCGAGCTCGCGTTTCCCCGCGGACCTGGGTGGGTGAAGCGATCGGTCAGTCGACGTCTTACCGGTCAAACGTTGAAAGGGAAGCGCGGGTGAAGAGTGACGACGTGAAAAGTCCTTAAGGAACGACGATCAACACGCGAACGGGGTCGTATGGGAAGCAGTCTCACCTCGCTCTTTGTTTCCCCCCCCCCCGCCGTTTCCGCCGCCGTCTCCGCCGTTTCCGCTCGCGGCGATCGTCTCCAGCACCTTCACGGATACGACGTCGCCGACCTTCACGACGTCCCGCGGGTGCGAGACGCGATTCCACGACAGCTCCGAGATGTGAATCAAACCCTCGCACCGCGGCGCTCTAGCGTCGTCGGGAAGAATCGAGCGCATGTCGGGGTGGAGTTGAAAGGCGTCAGTTAGAGTTGAAAGGCAACGCGGGCGGAGATTGAAAGCGAGGTGTGGGCGGGGAGACACGCCGGGAAAAGTCCTTAAGGAACGGCGTTCACCACGCCGACGCGGTCGTATGGGGACCAGTGTGAGATAGAACGCACCTCGCGTCGTCGGGAAGAATCTCCACGAAGGCGCCGAAATCGGACATGGACATCACTGCGCCGCGCGCGACGTCCCCGGGCTTCAGCGCCTTGGCTCCCACGTCCTGGACGAGCGCGCGCTCGCTGACGACGATTTTCTGCGAATGATGAAAGGTCGGTCGGAATATCGGTCGTCGTTCATCGGTCAGTCGAAAGGAGACTCGCGCGATCGAACGTCCGGTTGACGAATCGCAGGGGGGCGGGCGAAGTATAGAAAAACACAACACAGCCACGCGACGCGCCTTATCGTTGACGTCGGTGACCCGCACGGAGATGTTCGTCCCTACGAGCTGCTCCAGCGCGGCGACGGTCGCGTCCTTCGCGCTCGGTTTCGGCGGCGACGGCGGCGGCGTCGGCGGCGCGAAGTCGCCGCCGTCGTCGTCTGAGGGTCGAGGGTCCGTACGAGCGAACGTCGAGGTGGAGTTCAAAGGCGTCAGACGGAGTTGAAAGGCGCCGAGGGCGGGGATTGAAAGCGAGGGGTGGGCGGAGAGAGACGCCGGGAAAAGTCCTTAAGGATCGGCGTTCACCACGCGAACGGGGTCGTATGGGGACCAGTGTGAGATAGAACGCGCCGTCGTCGAAGGACGCCAGCGGCGCGGTGACGCGTTTCAGCTGCGCCGCGGCTTTCGATTTCCCCCCCTTGATGGCCGCGGTGCGCGACGACGCCATCTGCGACAGCGGGAGGAACGCGCGGTAGCGGCCGTTGAATATGCGGAGGATGAGGCCGCCGCGGTTCGCGACCTCGACGCGGCCGACGACGGCGTCGCCGGATCGGAGCGCGGCCGCGAGCGCTTCCTTCGCCTTTTCATTCTTCGACGGCGACGACGACGACGACGACGATCCGGCGGACGCGTCGGCGTTCTCCGCGGACGTCGCGGACGCGCCCGTCTTCTTCCCGGCGGCGGCGGGGTCTTTCTTCTTCTTCTTCGCGGTGGCGTCGGACGAGTCCGCGGCGGCCGCGGCCGCGCGGACGGCGGCGCCCTTTCGCGTCCGGGGCGCGAGCGGCGACGCGCGCGGCGCGGCGACGCGCGGACGCGCAGCCGCCGCGCGAGATCGCGAGGCGCGCGGCGACGCGGACGCGGAGGCGCGCAGAGGCGCGGCGACCGCGATGGACGCTGCCGCCATCGCCATCGCGACGCGGGTGACGGCCGGTGAGGGCGGGGCGACGACGCGCGCGGGAGCTGGCGAGGTGACGAGCGCGGCGACGTCGATGTGCGTCGGCGCGCGTCCGTCGTCGCGCGCTTTTCGTTATCCTCGCGACGCGAGGGCCGCTCGTCGCGGGGGTGACGTCATCACGCCTGCGTTCCAGTCAGGATGAAGAAAAACGTACTGTACACGTGTACTACGAAGGGTATCTATTTCCGGAAGTATATGAAGGAAGTACGGAAGTACCGCCGCGACCGCGAGGGAGAACGACGGAAACGCGTGGAAGCGTGATGAGAAGACGCACCATCTTGACAACACCTGAGGTGAATCGTGCGGAGCACCACGCAAAGAGACCGGAGCCAGGGATGGGTAGGCCGCTAAATACTGGCGGTCGCGGTCGACTCGAAATTTTTTTCTCCGACCGCGCGGTGTGAGGCGAGTACCGTGTCGCACATGCAAACAGTAAGAGCGTACGAAAACGACGTAGTACGTACGAAAGTACTTTCGTACTTTCGTATGATACGAAAGTATTCTATTTTCGAAAGTACTTTCAGTACGAAAGTACGTGTGCACGTACGTGTACGGTACGTGTAGTTAGTCTAGTTAGTCTACAACGTTGTAGATATTTTTCGAACAAGCGAAAGCACCTAAAAGCAGATTCTGCAGATACGAGTACTGTAGAAGCGCGACCTTTCACATGTTTAGTGTTACATTCCCGCTCGCGCGGTGCATCCCACGCGCGTTTCTCGCCACGTTCGGTCTCGACCTCGGCTCCGCCACGCGGACGACAAACGACACCCCGCCGTGTTCGTGGGCATTTTGAATCTACCATTTCCCCGCCTATGGACTCGACTCGCGGTCCGCAGATCTGGCGTGATGATCGCTCGAATCGCCGCCCCGCATGGGGCCTCATCACCCCGCACGTTTCGAGCCTCTCCCTCCTCGTACTCGTGATCCTGGGAGGGGCGTGCTCCGTCTCCGCGGCTCCGTCCACCGGGAGGCTGTCCAGCGCCGGTCACCACCCGCGACTCGTGTCGCTTAAAACGCGCGAACGAGTGGGCGATCACGACTTTCGCTCTCGAAGCGACGACGAATCCGAATACGCTTCGAATTCTACCCGCGTTTCCGAACTCGGCGGGCTGTTTTCCGACCTGAACGGGTACTGGTGGCACGGGTCGCGCATCGCAGTCGGGGGCGCACTCGGGGCTCGATACGAAGGCGTGACGAAATGCATCAAACGGTGTGACGACATGAAACACGGCTGCGCCGGGTTCGTGAAGGAAATTTTATCAGATCACTGCACGCTCGTGGGACGAGGGTACGGTTTGATGCAAGCCGCCGAGAGCGATTTTTACCGCAAGAAAGCGTTGACGAACCCGGCGGTTTGGAAAACGATCGAAGGAATGACCGCGCGCTCTCCAGATATCCACGCCTGGCGTGGGGTCACCGCGAGCTCGCGACGAGAACTGCGCGCGCTGTGCGCGGCGGATTCGCAGTGCCAAGGATTCTATACGTGTTCGGACTTCGACGCGTTCAACTGCACGAAGATTTTGAACGAGTTTCACTCTGAAAAAAATCTGACGGGCGTCAGGCCGTTTCACACGAACGCGTCCGCGATGCTGCTCTCGAGCGTCCCGGACTCTGTGAGCAGAATGTCTACTTATCCATCCCTCGTTCTCGACTCGCGTGCGATTAAAACGTGTGAAGGCAACGCGGACGGCGCGTCTTGTACGTTTCCCTTCACCACGGATTACAGCGCGAAGCACAGACAAAACAACGTCGAGTATTTCGGACCGACGCTAGAAGGATCGTCCCGCCCGTGGTGCTACACCTCGAAACCCGGATTATGGGGGTACGTCGACTGCCACGGCCAAGATCCGATGGGTTTCAAGTGGGAGATCAGCGAGTGGGGTAACTGCTCGCGATCGTGCAAACGCGGGATGAAGACGCGAACAGCGAACTGCGTGAACACGACGTCAGGGGCTGTTCTTCCGAACCAGCTCTGCGGCGTCGAGCCCGAAACCTCGCAGGAGTGCAACACGCACTCGTGCGACGAGAAGTGCGCGGCGATTGGCGTGGAAGATCGCAAGCGTTGCGCGCCTTTCGTACAAGACCCTCGGTCTAGGTTTATGAACGTCGCCGTTCGCGCAGAGGTGTGCCATGAGTACGGGTGCTGCTTTGATTACTCTGAAACCGTCTTGGGCACTTCCGAGTGCTACGTCCACAAGCTCGAGAGCGAAGCGTCTGGCTGTAAAAAAGACTGGGAGTGGGACGCGATCGGGTCCGGAACCGTGAGGGTTCCGAAGCCGTTTACCTCCAACGGCGGAAAACCGACGAAGCTTTTCTGGAACGGATGGCACGAACCCGGTCCACTCATGGATGGCCAAAAAGTATCAACAGTCACGGACGAGGTCACGATGTGTGGAAGATCTTGCTGCCGAGGTGACACAGAGCTCGGCCCTTGCGCGTACGACCTCGGGTACTCGAAACCGGGCGCGGGTCAATGTTCGAGGTTCAAAAGCATTCTCGCGCCGGACCGGTACGATACTGCGTTCGACGTGTACTTTGGCGAGGGCGACGTAGGTAAGGGAGATCTCGCAGCTGACCCACCACGTATGCCGCCGGCGGTTTTACAAACGATCAAGATGTTTACGTCGAAAGAGTGCAGGGAAGAGTGCGATGCCGCCGACGGATGCACGGCCGCGAACTTCAATAAAGCAGAGAGCATCTGCGAACTTATCAAAGCGGATGCTCCCTCGATTGCCAAATTTTGGGATGCTGATCCGCTTAAAAGGTATCACATTTTGAATTCAACATCGTCCCTCGGCGCTTCCCCCGGAGGTAACAGGATTGGTTGGACGGCGTACACGCGTCATTTGGGCACGAGGAGGGTGAGGGGCTTCACGAACGCCGTCACCCACGTGCTAGCGGACCCCCCACCGCAATGGGGCGAGTGCAGAGTCGTACCCAAAGGACAACAACTTGATCCTGAATGCCCGTGGCAGCAGCACAAGGAAATAAAAGGTTACGTCCTTCCCGGTGATGACATTTTCAGACCGGACGGGTACGAAGTTCCGTGGGACAAGATTAACTCGTACCACAACGGAAAGCCGTATATGCCACTCGACGACGGTGACCCGGACTACCCGATTACGTATGACCCCGGGATGGAAATACGGAAGGGTCCCGGCCCATACAACATACACTCTATTGAACGCCCGTGCTACGACGTGTGCAACATCACGAAGTACTGCGAGGACCCACTACTGAGTTGGTACGATTCGTCCTCGTCGAACGACGAAACGTGCTCCGCGCCTGGAAACATGGCGACGACTCGTCCGGGTGCGATTCAACACATGACTTCCAAGGAACGGCGAGAAACTGTGGGATCTTGCGACGGGCACGGTGGTCCAAGAAAACGAGAAACCCGCGTGAATCTTGAAACTTACGAGCAGGCGAGCGCGCGGTGCGAACGATTTGGCACGCGTCTGTGCGAAGCAGATGAAATCTTACGCGGCGCGGGTTTGAGCAGAGAAGGTGGCTCCGGAAAGATCACTTGGGAAGATGCCAACGTATTTGCACCGCGTGACCCTTGGAATTACGACCCGTTCAAATGCACTCGAGACATACGAGAAGATAACGCGTATTGGACGTCCACTCCCTGCGGCGTCGGCGGCGGGAACGCTACTGGGCGCTTCGTCGCTACGCGCGGTGGTGGACTTGGGAAACAGTGTGCTTCAACCTCCGAGGTCCATCTTTTCGCGTGTTGCTCGGATTTCAAAAATGCCGGTTTTAAGTCCGCGATCGCCGCTGCCTCTAGAAAAAGGATGAACATCACGCTCGGTGACTATCATTACTGCCGAAATCAGCAGTGTAAAGTCTACGAAGGTCACTGCAAAAGTGATGGCGAATGTGAATACGGCACGCAGTGCGCGCGACGCGTCGGGGCCAAGTATGGATTCCATGACAAAGCAAACGTGTGCATCCCGACGTATGACGCGCAACAGATTCGCTTCGGACCGAGACAAGTCTTAAGGGGGTCCCCGACGAATTTTGTTTTCGTGGAAAGCGGAGTATATACGATACCAAACACCGCGAAGGTTAAGATTATCGACGGTGATAAGTTCGGTTGCATGGGTGCGTGGGATGACACCGCAGTCACCTTGGCGGAGACCGAGTTGAAGAGGCGAAGCGAACACGTCGTGCGTCTTCCCGGTCAGCCTGTCGGGGAGGCATTCAGTGGACTGAAGAACCACAAGGCTACGCTTTATGCTAATAACAAGGTGTGTGATGGAGAGTTGCATCCTGAGCTCCCGAGAGCGACTGAGTCTACTCGGCCGTTTATGGAATGGAACAACGCGCTGGTCGCCGAGGACAAAACACAATCCAATTTTGATCCCACGTTCGAAACGAGAAAGGCGCACATGTGCATGTGCGATAACAGCACGGATTGTGAAGCTCCTCAAAACTGGCACGATCTCGGTGTAGTCAAGCTTGACGTTCCACACATTTATACTTTCCGCGGGTTTAAAGATAACGACATGGTGACGTGCGGGCGAGATATGAAGTGCCCGAAGCGCGAGACTCGGTTCGACGTGTACACGTATTACACCACAGCGGAAGAACCGGATAACATACCGAAGAGCGATGGCTACGTCGCCGGTTTCGGGGGAGATTTATTCGAGGTTTACAACGTCGTCGACATGACCGAATATTACCCTGAGATGCTGATGACGCGGTTTACGTACTCGGAGCAAATTTCCTTGTTCAAAGAATTTTGCGCGCAGAGATGCAACGGCAATCCTCTATGCGTCGGCTTTGACCTCGTCCCGACCGGCGTGGACGGCTCTGGGATCAAAGAACTCGACGATGACGATTTGATCCAGAGACAATGCCGGATGTATCGCGACGGCGTGATGCTGCACGTGATCCCTTCGAGCGGACACCAGTTTTATTTCAGTACGAAACCAAAACGAGAGACGTGGAGCTGGTTCCCGGTGCAGAGAAAGCCCGGTCGCGAGATCGAATTCACAACCCCGGGAGGGTTTTCTCAAGTAGCTCCCGAAGGCGTCGTCGGGCTTCGCGCGCCGAAATTCAAGTTGAGAGGCACGAGCATCGAACGGCTTCGGAACTTTTTTCTGTCCATGAACGTGTTTGGCAATCCTCCGCTGCCGAGTAAGAAGTTGGACTCACACCGAATTCACGGATTGGTATATTATGAAAATCTCTACTCCCCTTATTTGATGCCGTCGTTGGATTACGTTACGGATAAACACTTCAACGTACACAGCGGCAACGGCCGCGTCTTCTTCCCGTCGTTGGTTGAGCCAAAAGAAATTGATGATCGCATGGCGCTGACGGAAACGTACATAACAGCCCGCAATCGCAATCGTCGGGGACAAAAAGATTTTCCACGCGCCAGGATCGCGTACGAAACCAACCTCGCTAAGAAGGAGTGCGAAGTATCCGTCGCGCCGCCGCTGGATGTTGTAAACCAAACCACCGATGGAGGATTGTACTGGCCTTCAGATGTCGGAACGTGTGGAGGAAACGCACACGGTGCGCCGTGTTACAAGATGTTTTCTCCCGATCCACGAGACCCAGACCTCATATACTTCCAATGCCACGTCCCTGACGGCGAAACGAGGTCGATGTGCTACACAGACAAGGCGCGTACACTTTGGGGCTACTGTGACTGTCCAAACTCGCAGTGGAGTCGCCCTTTCGGCCGCAGGAACACTATGCACAACGCGGAATTTCGAGGCGGTGAGGTCGTGATGCTCACAGACGACCTCCACGCCCCGATCGACAGCATCGCGTGCGAAAACGGCATTCGAGGTCCGAGCTACGACTGTAAGGTTCACGTAAATAAGAGCATGTGCATTTCATCCGAAGTGTACGGCGAATTCCACCCGTGGAAAGGATTCAACAGCGCGATGGACGCGAGTCACAGTATTGCTAATTATAATTATGGAGACACACGTACTGAATATACGAATGGGTACGAATCCATGATCGAAGTCACTTGTCCACCTGGAATGGTCCTGACGGGAATAGCCGCGATTAAGGACAAAACGTCCGAGGGAGTGATGCCTCGTTGTGGCACCCCCGCGGGTTGGACCGTCGGTCGCGTCGAGGAATCAACTATTCAGTCTCTGGATTCGTACAACTTTGTGACCTACCTCGAGGACAGTTGCATCGTGTACAATCCGAGTGGTGGCTCTACCAAGTCCGGCCGATGCACTGGGGTTGATTGGCAACCTTGCCCTTTCGTACAGGACCCCGATCTCAAGTGCAGACGGCGGCCGCGCGGAGTCGGAATCGACGCAGATTACGTCGGTTGCGGGCCCGGCGAAGTCGCGGTTGGTTTCTTTTGGAGCGCGCGGAGCGGGACGTCGAAGAGGCTTGGCTCACCGGATGAACATCCATCAGAAATCATGCCGATGTGCGCCCCCGTGACTTCCACGGAACCGTTCGCGGTTACCTCTGGGGACTTTCAACGCGCGTGTACAGCTCAAATCTGCTCCAACCTGACGAACACGATTGACACGGATGACGTTGCGAAATGCCTCAAACTTTGCGAGTCTGAATCGACATGCCGAGCGTCCGAGTTCATCGAAGGAAACGCGACGTCAAAAATGTCTGGAAAATGTCTTTTGTACGCAGGGACGTGTACGGAATCGACAACGCCTTACGGCCGGATATTGAATCAAGCGCTTCCGTCCCCAGTGACGACGACGAACGCCCCCGTGACGTACACGCCCGTCGAGTTCGAGCACCCGGTTACGATCAAAGATCTTATCACTTTCAAAGTTTCATCCGTAAAGGGAAGTACGTTCGAAAGGCTGAAATTCAAACGATGGGTTGGAACTCCGTTTAGCTCGTGCTCAAAGCCGTGTGGGTTGGGAGTGATGCATCGCAAGATCTCGTGCGTAATGATTGGCTCCGTTGTCAACGTCACAATCCCGGACTCCGAGTGCGCGCATTTGCCCAAGCCCCCAGAGATGGAGTATTGCAACAAGTTTCATTGCGAGTTACAATGCCGACAAGACACGAAACGCCGATCGTGCGCGATGTACGAAGCCGACGACCGCCGCCGCTCGAGTCAATTTTTGATACGTCAGCAGACGTGCGAGGGATTCGGGTGTTGTTTTGTCCCCAAGCCTTGGATTAGCGATTTCGAGCGCGCCGGTCCCGGCGAGAGCGAGTGCTACGAAGCGCCCCGGCTCGAGTATCCCCAATGGGTTCCGTTATCGTTCGGGGAGTGTAGCGAGGATTGCCAAGACCCTGGATCCAGCGCACTTCCTTACCGAGAACGGAATCTCGCGTGCGCGAACGCGATCGATGGACGTAGGGTCCCGTCTGACCTTTGCCCCGCGCAGAAGCCAATGGCGATTCAACAGTGCAACACGAAAGAGCCGTGCGTTTCTTCCAACTGCGGCTTACCCGAAGACGTCGGGTCGTGCGGACACGGGACATGCGAGAGAAGCTTCTCTTCGGATTCGCCTTGGAAATCGAGCGAAAAGTGTACTTGCTTTGAGGGATGGATGACTGGGCCTTCAGGCGCGTGCGATCTCGAAATTCCCGCGTGTGAATCAAACGAGTGGCAGCTCGGAGAGTGGGGCGAATGCGTTGCCGGAGGTTTGCGTTCGCGCGAGGTGACGTGTGCGACGGATCTGATGCGCGCGTCGTGTAAACCGACGTGTGATGAATCTACGCGACCGGAGAGCACGAGTGCATGCCACGTGGCTTCGTCTTCGTCTGAATCCTTCAATTCGATACCGACGAACTGGACGTCTGGGTTTTGGCGAGAAAATTTCGACGCAGACAAAAATCACTTCGTCATCATGCCGCACATGGAGATGAAAATCACCGGACCGATCCGGCGGTGGTGGGTCGATCAGGATGAAAAATGGACCAAAATTCAAGCTGGGTTTTCGGCTCTCGAGGCTGCTTTGGGATCGAGCGAAGATGTACGCGGGAACGACTCGCCGTCGAAGCGCGCGGCGATTTGCGCTTCGATGTGCAGAGCGACGCCGACGTGCCCTGGATTCGTGTTTGACTACAGTAAAAACATGGCGAACGCGTGCGGATTCATTCACCGCAGGCAGTTCGAGGTCACGACGATATCACGGAGCGAAAGTAAACACGTGTTCATGCGTAGGGGGTTCATCACGTCTTTCCCGCAAGACGAGCTCGTGAGAGTGGTGAATTCAACGAACGCTTGGAGTTCAGATCTTGCAGCTAAAGTCGTCGACTCCAACGAACGTCTAGCTCGGAGACGGAGTGTGATTCCATCCGACGATGGGATATGGGATTGGATAAATACCGCGAACACGCACGGGGGAGTATCCCTGCGCAAATCTCTGTACAGTCTCGCGTTCCCGACGCATCTCAACGTTCTGAAGCACATCCGATACTTGCGGAACTTTCTCGAGCCGGAGTTTCACGGGGAAAATCTCGCCGACGTCATCCTCGCGATGGCGTTTAAATACCGCGACTACCCGTCTATCACAAACAGCACATCTACGTTCGTGACGCATCTTAGGGATGCTAAGTTGCTCGACGTGTGCCAGATAAGCCGCGAGACTGGCGCGCACGACAAGGCGAAGATGCCTTTGTACCGTGACCCAAACCCGAGCCCGCTCGGGGCGCTTCATTACCTGCTGAAGAATAATGCGACCGCGTCGACGATGTCATCGATATGGTCGTTCCCGTGGCCGATTTTGACCATGCTTGGCACCGCACATGTTCCAAAAGCGGAGTGCGACTACGTCCGTGGGAGATATTCCACCTCTGCGGAGGCGGACCGCGCATTCGCCGTTGAAGAGGAGTCGACTTTAGCGACGCTCGACACGAAATGGTACAAAGAAATCAGTCGATCTACGCTGGAGCGCGTGGAGACTCTTTGTAAAACGTCGAATTGGCACCCTAACGCGCTGCCACGCGCTGTACAAGATGGTACCACGCCGGCTCGTTTCCCATACGTTCGATGGGGTCATCAAGCTTGCCGCGGGGTTCCAGGTGTCATTTCCACGGCGGGTACATTAGAATTCTCGATGACCGAGTACGGTTACGTACGCGCATATAGCGAGCTTTGGGATACGAATTTGACGTTTGACCGTGACATGCAAAGCGTGCTTCATACGGACGATGTTCCAGGAATCAAAAAAAACCGAGCAGTGAGCGTCGACCACGGCCGCTCCACGGCGATTGGCATAAATCACGGCCTCGATTCGAACATCGACACGCGTCTCGCGATGCTGTTGTTTCATAACGTGTACCAAGAAGAAGGAAGCCACGTCATCGAAAACGTCTCGAGGCTATTGATTTCTGCGCTCAGAAATAATCCACACAACATCGAAGCTTGGGATCTCCTGATTTCCCACATCACACTTGGTTCGCTCACAAATGTTGGAATAATCCGCGACGCGTACGAGGTTTTTAGACCTGTCGCGAAATATTACACACGCACATTTGGCGCGCTCATCGAAGCCATGGCGATGGCGTTTGATTGTGAGACCGACCCCACTGTACATAAGTATCTTATGGAGGAAGCTATTATCGTTACCCGACCGCAATGCGACATGAAAGCGCGGGAGGAGATAATAAACGGGGTCAATCGAAATTGCAAGCGGCACGTGTTTACTATCGACGACGTCAAATTTATCGAGGAAGACTTTGTACGACTCGCGTGGGGTGAATGCGAACATAGGCTTGTCGCTGAAGAAGACACGGTAGCTCCGTTTTATACGGAGTCCAACCGGACACGTTTCGACGACATCGATGAAGGCACTGCATCGAAGAAGGATGCCTTCGCGCGGTTGTTCAAGATTCATTTTCACCCTCTTGCCGTCGCGCAATTAAAAAACCCCGAAACCGCACCTGGATCCGTTTCCTTTTTTCTTGATATTATCAAGTATATCACCGATACGGTCTGGCCGCAAATGCCGCTTGGGTATCTTGGTCACGTCGGCTTCGTCGAGGGATCCAGCTTCCCCGCGATCACGGTCGACTCCTGGAGAGTTGAACACGATGAAGCGAAGATAAATGCTATTGGCATCCGCAAGAAGTGTTCACATGAGAGTTGCGAATATATACGCGAGTTGAAGAAATTCCGACTGCATGACACTATCGCGATTACATCAGGGTTGGAAATGTTAGAAACGCTTCACGGATGGAGTATGTTCGCCGTTAACCTCACCTCGACCCGATTGAGCCCAGCAGTCGGAGGCTATCCCGTTGTTGATGACATTGTTTGCGAAACGTTCTTGCCAGAGGAATCTTGCGAGAAGTCACAATCTCCCTCGACGGAGCACGCGTACTGCCGATGCAGTACATTTAAGACCACTTCGTTCAAAGAGTTCTACGCCGCAAGTGCTGAATTGACTAAGGTGGTGAATTTGAGCCCTATCCAAAAAAAACTCATCGCCTATGTCCCCGCGGTCAAGGCGTCGATTGATAATGCCGATTTAAATCTTCGTAGCGACGAGGAAGACGAGGGCGATATCTCTCGGCTTCACGCGCGGAAGAAGATCATATATGAAAAGGAGGAAGACTACGACGCGTTGACGCGACTCCTCGCGAACGTTTCGAGCAACTTGGGCGAAACTACTGCGAGTCGCCAGAGTTCAATCATTCTCAACGCGCGCGCTCGAAGCGGCCGCACGCGCTCGAGATCACTCCTTGGTTCGAGCGATACCGAGCCTAGCAGCTCTGATGTAAGCATCATGGAGCATACGACTCCAAATGCGGAGGATTTTGCGATGCTTGACTCGCGAAGCACGCCGTTTAGTGTCAACAACGATACCGTTTTCGATACGTTCTCGTCGGCGGTGGAGAAGCACTCGGGCAGCCCCGAGGACGTTTCGAGAACACCCGTCAACGTGCCCGTCACTGAAAAAGTTCGCGTCTCGGAAGCACCTGCGCCTATCGCGGCGGTGGCACCCGCTTCAGCGCTGCCGGTGTTCTCGCCGTTGCCAACGCACTCGAACGACACGAAGGTTATCACGACGTATTCCATCGCGGTGAAAAAATCGAGGATGGACGCGCAGTTGAAGGCGATTGAAAACGTAATCAAAACGCGCCTCCATGGTGGTATCAAGTTCCACAAACTCCAAGTTGCTCGCTCGTTGCGGATGGTTCCCACGGATGGCGACGGCGAGACGGCGACTGGCGAGTTCTCCATGCAGTTCACCGGATTCCTCGGGAAGCATCCCAAAGGGGTGAAGAGATTCTCGCAGGTATCCGCGGGCCCGAAAACAATCGCGGCGATGAACGGGATGCTACGGAGACGCGGCGTAGCCGGCGCTTCGATCACAGCAAACTACATGACGGATGTCGAAATACATTGGAGCGCGAAACACGAAGCTTTCATCAGGCGAACGATCGGAGGCCTATACCGCAGAGCTAAGAACGCGCTCGCAGCGGGCAACCGAGCGGGTAGAAACAATTTCCTTCGCGGCGCCGCTTTCTACAAGCGGCTTCTGAACACCGCGCCTAGAGCGATTGGAGGCGCGCGACGCGCGCTACTACAATCATCTACGAGCAGCGATGCTGCGTTGGGTTTGCCCTCTCACATGACGGACTTGGACAACGCTTGTGTGAGCGTCGCTTTCACCAAAAACGTTGGGGACGCGGAGGCATTACAACGAGCAATCTACGCGTGCGGCTCGCCAGCCGCGTCTTCACCGGATGAGGCATCCAAGGCGTCGTTCGTCCCTATAAACAACGACGACGACTTTAGGAATGCGTTAAAGGAATGCACGGTACTAAAATCATACTGCTGTCCAAAGTGTGCGAAGAAACCATTTTGGGGGTCAAGATGGGGCTCACCAGGGTGTTGCGACGACGATCGGTACGCCGACAAAAAACTCCACGACTGTGAACGAAAGTACGGACCGATCTCATCGTGGGATACGTCCAAGGTCACGAACATGGATCATGCCTTCCGTTCGGTGACCGCCAAGGTGGGTCCCCATGGCTACCCATCAGCACCCAGGATTATCTGTGTGACTCAATCTATCAATCAGAGCGCGACTGGGCGATTCGACGACGTCGCGAATATCGACATATCCAACTGGGACGTGAGCAACGTAAAGAGCATGAATCATATGTTTCACGGCTTCATAGGGATCTATGGCGACCTGAGCGGTTGGAATGTAAGTCAAGTGACGAGCATGAGCCATATGTTCGACGACGTCAGATATCTCGCGAACACTTCGACGTGGGACACGAGTAAAGTCACAGACATGTCATATATGTTCAAAATGCATGAAGGCGCGCCAGCTTATAACCGGGCCCTGCTTGGGAATTTCATCGAAAATTTCAACGTGAGCGCGGTGACCACGATGAAGCGCATGTTTGAGCACTTCGGTGACGGATATCACGGTGAAAGGCAACGTATTCCAAGAGAATTTTTATGGGATAATACACCACCTATGGACCTCTCACGGTGGGAACTTTCAAGCCTTACGAACATGCACAGTATGTTTTATAGAGCTACAACGGTATCATCATTCTTGCACGGAGCGAAGGATTGGGACGTGCGCAAAGTGGAGGACATGTCGAACATGTTTCAATGGTCTGCTTGTGGAACGTTGATCGATCTGTCAGGTTGGAAAACGACGAGTTTGCGGAACATGGACAACATGTTCAGGGATTTCCCGAAGTGGTCGGGGACCTGTAGCGCAAACTTGTCCGGCTGGGACCTACGATCAATGACGTCGCTCGACGGAGTTTTCTATAATTCTAAGTGGACAGTGCTTGATTTGACTGGATGGAACACGAGTAACATAGTCAGCATGGCTGAGATGTTCAAAAACGCCCACATCGCGCCGGGATCTCTAGAGACTTTGAACGTGCACGGCGTTCAAAACTTCGAACAAATGCTCTGTGGAACGGAGTGGCCGTCATCGAACGTAGACTTGACGAGTTGGGACGTCTCGCGAGCGACGAACATGAAGGGAATGTTTCGAAAAGCGAATGTGAAACAAATCGACGTGTCGACTTGGGACGTGCGCGCTGTGACGAGTATGGCGAACATGTTCGACAGCGCGAGCAATTTCAACGGCGATTTATCGCGCTGGGAACCAAACAAAGTGACCACTATGGTGGAGATGTTCCTAGGCGCGGTCTCATTCGCAAACGATAGTCCTATTCGATGGAGACCGACGTCGTTGACGACTAGCGTTGGGATGTTCAACGGGGCGTTTAAGTGGTTGAAGTTTTTCGCTCGAGAATCCGAGGTGACGACTGTCGAAACCTCAACCGACGGACCTCCGTTTCTTTGGAGTGTAAAGAGCAACGTCGTCACGGATGAGAACATGAGGGATATGGTCGAGCGGTGTCTCGAAAGCAACCCTGTGGATGGAAACTGCGAGTCTTTATCCATCGGCATCATGTCGGACTGGGACGTTTCGCGGGTAACAGACATGTCTGAGTTGTTCCTCGACGCCATTAGATTCAACGCGGACATCAGTCGATGGAATGTCGGTGCGGTGACCACGATGGACAGGATGTTCATGGGCGCGAGCGCCTTCAACCAAGACATCAGCGCGTGGAAACTAACCGAGTTGGTCAACTCACGAGGGATGTTTTACGAGGCGAAGGCTTTCAGTCAAGACATCACGAACTGGGAAATTCCTAATTTATCCACCAGTGCGAACATGTTTGGCAAAGCGACGGAGATTTTGAAGCACTGCAAGCGCGATGGGCAAGAGAAGCCGATCACTTGGAGCGCGTCCGGGCCTCCGAGCAAATGGAAGTGCGACTATCCTCCGAAACCTCCGCACGCGCCTTCGCCTCCGCCTAACCCTTCCCCTCCCCCAATCAAGGACGTTATCAAAGAAATTCATCAAGGTAATTTCGTGCACGCGATCACCGTATGTCTGAGCTCTAATCCCATCGATGGTAACTGCTTCGAGTCTGGGTATGGGGCGATCTCGGACTGGGACACTTCAGAGGTGACGGACATGTCCGAGGCTTTCGCGAACGCGAATGAATTCAATGGCGACATCGAACGTTGGGACGTCTCTCGCGTGAAGAAGATGTTCCGAATGTTTTACCGCGCATACAATTTCAACGGCAATCTCACGAACTGGAACGTCGCAGAGGTGACGGATATGAACCAGATGTTCGCCAAGGCGTATAAGTTTAACGGAGATATCGCTTCGTGGAACGTGCGTTCCTCTCCTGATATGTACCTCATGTTTCAAGACGCAAAAAGTTTTGAAGCAAACGTCACGGGATGGAGCGATGGGAGCGACACGAGGGGTACGTTTGTAGGCGCCATCGCATGGCACAAAAAGTACGTCTTGAGGGCGTGTGGGAATAACATTGACTCCTGTGGATTAAACGCTGACTCATCCGGGCCAGCCTCGTTCCGGGAGCGAATCGTATTGAAGTACAGTGCATTGACGGATCAGACTTTCCGCACCGCGTTTAAAGAATGCTTAGCAACGAATCCTTTAGATGGTAAATGTGACCTCGGCTACGGCTGGATGTCAGATTGGGATACGAGCGCGGTTACGGACATGTCAAAGCTATTCTATAGATCTGGATATGGGTATAGGTCGCAAAAGTTCAGTGTCGACATCAGTAACTGGGACACGAGCAACGTTACGAATATGAAGCAGATGTTTCAATACGCCAAGGATTGGAACGGGGGAGAAATCGGAAACTGGGACGTCGGCGCGGTCACGGACATGTCTGAAATGTTCCAATACTCTGATTTCAACGTCGACATCGGTCGTTGGAACGTCAGCGCGGTCACGTCCTTCCAAGATACGTTTGCATCATCCCAATTCAACAAACCCATCGGCGACTGGCCTGTGCGCGCGGCGAGTATGAGAATGATGTTCGCCAGTTCAGAGTTCAATCAAGATATTTCGCGATGGGACACGAGCGAAGTGACGGACATGAGTTACATGTTCTGGTATAATGATAACTTCGATCAAGATCTAAGCGGCTGGTCCGTGGCGAAAAACCCGGGCAGGACAATGATGTTTTATTCGTGCTCCCGTTTCGGAGGCGCGAACTACGCCCCGAAGAGCGGATATGGATGTCATCAATGCTTCGATAATTGCTGTGAACTCCACGTGTATCCGCCTCCGCAGCCGGCGCCGCCGTTTCCCCCGCCGCTCGCGCCCGGTGTCGTTCTCGTATTCGAAGACAAGGCTTCGCTCAAGGAGGCTGTCGACGATTGCCTCGAGAGGGATCCCGTGAACGGGTGCGCGGGTATGGACACATGGGACGTGAGTAACGTCACGAACATGGAGAGCATGTTCAGTGGCGCTTCCTCGTTCAACGGCGACATCTCTGGCTGGGACGTGAGTAAAGTCACGAACATGGAGAGAATGTTCATGGAAACCAACTCGTTCAACGGCGACATCTCTGGCTGGGACGTGAGCAAGGTCACGAACATGGAACGCATGTTCAAGGACGCTTCCTCATTCAACGGCGATATCTCTGGCTGGGACGTGAGCAAGGTCACGAACATGGAGAGCATGTTCAGTGGCGCTCCCTCATTCAACGGCGACATCTCTGGCTGGGACGTAAGCGGCGTCACGAGAATGGAACGCATGTTCAGTGGTGCCTCTGCTTTCAATGGCGATATCTCCGACTGGGACGTGAGCAAGCTTATCATAATGGATTGGATGTTCGCCTATGCCCGTGCTTTCAACAGCGATATGTCGAAGTGGGACGTGAGCAAGGTGCGGAACATGCACGGCGTGTTCTATGGTGCTACATCGTTCGACGGCGATATCTCTGGCTGGGACGTGAGCAAGGTCACGAACATGGAGAGCATGTTCAGTGGCGCTCCCTCATTCAACGGCGACATCTCTGGCTGGGACGTAAGCGGCGTCACGAGAATGGAACGCATGTTCAGTGGTGCCTCTGCTTTCAATGGCGACATCTCCAAATGGGACGTGAGCAAGGTCACGAGAGTGGATTACATGTTTAGTGGTGCCTCTGCTTTCAACTGCGACATCTCCAAGTGGGACGTGTCCTCAATTTGGAATATGGAGGAAATGTTCAAAGACGCGACGTCTTTCAACATCGATATTTCCGAATGGAACGTGCGCGCGGTCTCCAAAATGCCGAGGATGTTCTCAGGCGCGACTTCGTTCGACCAAGACATTTCGAAATGGCAAACATGTAGTATGCGCAGTAAGTGGGGTATGTACAACATGTTCACTAATGGGAACGCGATCACGGAGTCGTTCAAGCCAACTATGGGCCGTTGCGAAGGCGTTCGCGTGTTCAAATCGAATACAGCTTTCAAAGACGAAGTGAAGAGGTGTGGTAAAAACATGGCTAGCATGGATAGCTGTACTTCAAGTGAGATCAAGTGGCTTAATATGAGCGACTGGGACGTGAGCAAGATTACTGACATGAGGGATACATTCCGCTTTCTCTCTAATTTCAACGGCGACATTTCCAGGTGGGACGTGAGCAGTGTCACGAACATGAACGGCATGTTCTCCCACGCCTCCGCTTTCAACGGCGATATCTCCAAGTGGGACGTGAGCAGTGTCACGAGCATGAACGGCATGTTCGAGCGCGCCTTTGCTTTCAACGGTGACATCTCCAAGTGGGACGTGAGCGAGGTCACGAACATGGAGAAGATGTTCGAGGACGCCTTTGCTTTCAACGGTGACATCTCCAAGTGGGACGTGAGCGAGGTCACGAACATGAATGAGATGTTCAGTGGTGCCAGTGCTTTCAACAGCGATATTTCCGAGTGGGACGTGAGCAAATGCACGGACGCGCGGAGCTTGTCCTCCATGTTCAGGTACGCCAGCTCTTTCGACCAGAACCTCTCCAGTTGGAACGTCCCCTGCGAACCCTATCCCGGCTACCATTTGTATCGTTCGTTTTATGGCACAAAGATGACAGAGTCGATGGCACCTTCTGTTCCATGTCCGACGCTGACCTCCGCGAGCGCGTCTGGGCTCGGCGCGTCTTCGTCGGCGTTTCCTCGCGTCGCGCGCGCGTCGCCGGTCGCGGTGTGCGCCGCGGCATTCATCGCCGCCGTCGCCGTAGTGGTCGCGACGCGCGCTGCGTTACGCGCTCGGCGATACCCTACGCCGACCGGTTTCCCTGTCCACGTGGGCGAAGAAACCGCGTTGCTGTTGCCGCGACGCGATCGCGACGCGGTGACGACGGCTCCAATGTTTTGGCGCGGTCGGGTTTAGGGCGCCCACCGCTCGGATTGTAAATACGGTCAAGGTCAATAGCATTGTACCCTGTGTACACGTACACATCATAGTACGATCCATGTATTGATATAAATGAGTGAGTGTGTTTATTTCGTGCCCGTCGCCGCCTCTTCGCCGGCGTGTACTGCGTACGTGTAGTCCGGAATTTGCACTGGACTATTTCATGTGTGTGAACGTGGATGCAAAATGCATTATTTTTGTTTTACCCCGCGGCGTCGCCGCCGACGTCGGCGCTCTCGCGCGCCGCCGCCGCCCTCGCGCTCGTCTCCGCCTCCACGAGCGCGACGATATCCCTCATCGAGCACAGCTCCGACGCGCACATCGCCCGCCGCGCGTTCCACGCGAGCCTCTCGCGCTCCCCCTCCTCCAAATAGTCTTCCGAATGGTCCTCCTCAGGGCCGTTCTATACGAGCGAATGTCGGGGTGGAGTTGAAAGGCGTCAGTTGAAGTTGATAGGCGTCGATGTCGGGGATTGAAACCGAGGTGTGGGCGGAGAGACACGCCGGGAAAAGTCCTTAAGGAACGGCGTTCACCACGCGAACGCGGTCGTATGGGGACCAGTGTATAGAACGCACCTCATCCAAATAGTCCTTCGCGTCCGGGTCCAGGGACCGAAACGCGCCGCCGGCGACGACGCTCGCGCACGTCGCGCACGCCACCGCGCGCCACTCCCCGGACGCCGGCGTCGGCGCGATCGCCTTCGAGTACAACGCGACGTCGCGGCCGTCGCCGAGGGGGACGTCGGGGACCCGGAGGATCGTCGGACGCCGGCCCGCGCACGCCGCGAGCATCGACTCTGAGGGTCGAGGGTCCATACGAGCGAACGTCAGGGTGGAGTTGAAAGGCGTCAGAAGCGGTGTTGAAAGGCGTCGAGGCGTGTCGGGATTGAAACCAGCGAGGGGTGGGCGGAGAGATACTGTACGCCGGGAAGTAAAGTCCCTAAGGATCGGCGTTCACCACGCCGACGCGGTCGTATGGGGACCAGGTCGAGGAGAACGCGCCTGAGGCGCGAAGCGCTCGACCGCACGCGACGCAGCGAGGCGGCGGTCTCGCGTCCGACGGCGGCGACGACGACGACGACGTCGCCGCCGCTGCCGCCGCCGCCGCCGCGTCGACGACGACCCCGCGCGGGCGCAACGCCGCGGACGCGCGCGGACCGCCGCCGCAACGACCCTCGCCGAGATGCAGCGCCGCGACGCCGCGGTTCTATCGGTCGTCAGTTGAAGTTGAAAGGCGTCAGTTGAAAGGCGTCAGTTGGAGTTGAAAGGCGTCGAGGGCGGGTATTGAAAGCGAGGTGTGGGCGGAGAGACACGCCGGGAAAAGTCCTTTAAGTAACGGCGTTCACCACGCGAACGCGGTCGTATGGGGACCAGCGTGAGATAGAACGCACCAGATACAGCCTCTTCTTCGCGCGCGTGGCGGCGACGTACACGAGGTTGATCTCGTCCGGGTCGACGTCCTCCTCCTCCTCAAAGTCGAACCCGAACTCGTTTCCTCCTTGGGCGTTGTGTATCGGCACCGTGAAACGCGTCGCGGCGGCGACGTTCGTCGACGTCGTCGTCGTCGTCGTCGTCGTCGCGCGGACGGCGCCGACGTCGACGAAATCGTCCCACAGCAGAACGGTATCAAACTCCAGCCCCTTGCTCTTGTGCGCGGTGGACAGCACGACGTGCGCGTCGTCGCGGTCCGGCACCGTCGCTCGTCGAATAGCGCGCACGCGCTCGGGAAGACGTTTTCCAAAGCGTCGAACGATGGCAATTTTCGAGGACATCTCCGCGTCGCGCTGCGCCGCGGTGGCGCGCGCGAGGCCCTCGAGCCGCTTATCGACGTCGCGGGTCCACTCCGGGTGGTGAAAGGGGTACCCGCTGTCCTCCACGAGTCTCCGCGCGAACGTGCGCACGTACTTGTCGTCGACGCGGTGCAAGTCGTCGAGGTCGCCGAACGCGAGGCGCCACACGTCGACGAGCTGATCGAGTCGAAGCGCCTCTTCGCCGCCGACGAACGCGATCTTCGGATTCGCCGAAGGCTTCCAATCGGGAAATATCACATCGTGAAAATTATCGTCCTCTTCCGCGACCACTTCCGCTACCTGTCCCGCGACGTCGAACATCGAGCCGTTCGAGCGGCACAGGACGACGAGCTGCTCGCGCTTCTTCTTCCGAGGACGCGCGAGAGACGCCGCCGGCGCCGACGGCGCATCAGACGGCGCATCAGACGGCGCATGGGTTGTCAGGGGCGGGATGAACGTCTTGATCAGGGAGATCGGGGCCGTCGCGACGCGCACGGCGGCGGCGTCGGCGGCGGCGTCGGCGGCGACTTCTCCCCCCGCTTCTTCGTCGACGTCCGCCCTCCGCGCGCCGACGACCGCGTCCGCGGACCCTTTCAGCGCGAGCAACGAGCACGCGACGGAGGCGATCTCCGGCCCGAACCGAAACGAGACGGAAAGCGTCCGGCGCGTGAGATGCTCCGCGGGCGTCGCCGCCGCCGCCGCGTCCATCGCGTTCTTCGCGCCGGCGAACCCGTAAATCTCCTGGTTTGGATCCCCCACGAGAATCTTCCCGCACGCGTCCTGATTCTTCACCACGCTCCACATCACCGGGCTCGCGTCTTGCGCCTCGTCGAGCATGATGACGTCGTAGTCGTAATCCAACCTCGGACGCGACAGCTGAGGGCCATTCCATAAAAAAGAAATTCATCGGTCAGTTGATTGGAGACGCGATCAAGTGTTGAAACCGAACGGTGGGTGAAAAACGTTTGAAAGAACGCACCTGATACAGTTTCAAATACCCCGCGTCCGTCATCGGCATCGTCGCGTTCCCCTTGTCCTTCATCGCATCCCACAGCGTGGTCGCGAACGACGCGAGCTCCTCGCTCGACGTCTTCACCTCGCGGCGCGCGGCGTGTGTGTTGGCGGGCCTGGTCGTCGCCACCCACTCGCGCTTCGGAGGGACGTGCTTGGTCGCGTCAACGGCGTCGTCTTCCGAGATTAAAAACGCGTTTAACGTTCGAAGCGCCAACGCGAGGCGATCGTCTGTGGACGCGATTTTCTCGGCGGCCGTCCCCGTCCCGCGGTGGTTTAGGTGGTGGTTCAACGCCGCGGCCGCGTGCGACGGCCGCAGCGTCCCGCGCAGCAGCTTCCCCGGCGTGTTCTGGTACTGAAACCCGCACTTTCGAAACGCGAGCGAGTGAAAGTTGACGCACGTCGTGTTCCCCGGAAACCGCGTCTTCGCGTCTTCGCACACGGCGCGGTTGAACGTGACGTACGCGAACGCGTACCCGGGCCGTCGCCGGGCGTACTCGATCAGCGTGGACGTCTTCCCGGTCCCCGCGAACGCGCTGACGATCATCGTCCGCGGCGGGCGGCGACGATCGCGCGGATGCGGATTTTTTCCTCCGCCGCCGCCGCCGCCCGCGCCCGTCAGCTCTGCGGCGACGATCGCGCGCTGCTCTCGCGTCAACGCGCGCGGCGGCGGTTTCTGTGCGATCTCCGCGTACGCCTCCGCGATCTCGAGCTGCGTCAGCTTGGCGCGCGCCGCCTCGCGGTTCCCTCTCCACGACGCCTCGCACCCCGCGGCGGCGGCGACGAGGGACGTCAGCTCGGTGACGTCTTCCACCGCGTCGGTTGACGTTCCATCTTCCGTCGTTGCGGTCAGTCGCGCCGCGTCCACGGCGGCGGCGAACAGCGTCGCGATCGCGCGCGAATCCTCCGCGCACGCGAAAAACGCGCACGCGAGCGTCGCCCACGCGTCGCCGCCTCGCGCGCCGACGTGGCGGCGGCCGCTGACGTGGCGTCCGCTGACGTGGCATTCGCCGCCGCCGTCGCCAAGGCCTCCGCTGCCGCCGCACAGCCGCCACGTGGAGACCTCCTCGACCGCCGCGGCGAGCCCGGCGCCGACGCGCGGCGCCGAACCGTCTTTCTCCTCCGCGCGCTCCAGCGCGGCGACCAGCGCGGCGACTGATGATGAGGGTGATGATTTCCCATACAGTAGATACGACGCGACGTCGGGGTGGCGTTCAAAGGCGCGTCAGTCGGAGTCGCGAGGGAGGCGTCGATGACGACCGTTGAAAGCGAGGGGTGGTGGGCGGAGAGAAACGCGCGCCGTGAAGAAAAGAAAAGTCCTTAAATAGGAACGGCGTTCACCGCGCCGATGGAGTCGTACTGTACTGTACAGTACTGTACTGTATGGGAATCATCAGTGCGATGAGATGGGACGCGCCCGACAGCGGCGAGCGTCTCGCGAACGGTCGCGCCGTCGCGAGGAACCGCGCGACGCCAGCGGGGGTCGTCGCCCCGCGCGCCGTCATCCACGCTGCCACGTCATCGCTGACGTGGCACCCCGCGAGGAACCCCCGCGATTCCTTCACGCGCAACCGCATCTTCGTGAACGGCATGAACGTGGAGTCGCGAAGCGCGTCGTTCCACTCTTTGCACACGCCGCGCAACTCGCGCCAACTCTCCGGAGGCGTCATGGAGAAAATCCGTCGCGCGATCTCCGTCGGCCACGTCGCCGCGGACGCCGCCGCCCTCGGGACGTCCGCGCCGCGCTCTGAGGTGCGTTCAGCGAATGTCGGGGTGGAGTTGAAAGGCGTCAGAAGCGGAGTTGAAAGGCGTCGAGGTGTGTGCGTCGGGATTGAAAGCAGCGAGGGATGAGCGGAGAGACGCGCCGAGAGATAAAGTCCTTAAGGATCGGCGTTCACCGCGCCGACGCGGTCGTACGGGGACCAGTGTGAAGGATAGAACGCACCTGACTGCCGCGCGAACGCGTCGACGAGGCTCCCCTGCCGCGTCGCCTCGCGCGCGCGCTTCTTGCCCTCCCCCGCGCGCGCCCTCGCGAGTTGGCGCTCCACCCCCTTCGGCGCGCCGGCGACGAGACGCGTTCTCAACGCCGCCGCCGCCGCCGCCGCGACGGTCGACGTTCCGTCGTAGTCCAGCGTCAGCGCGACCTCGAGCGGCGCGGACGGCGCGACCCCGCGCGCGCGCGGGTCCCTGCGCAGCGTCGCGCGCGTCACGGCGACGGTGTCGTGTCCCCGCGCGTCCGCCGCCGCCGCCGCCGCCGCGTCCATGACGGGCGCGAGCGCCGCCGCCTGCGTCGCCGCGACGTACCCGACGTCGGCGTGCGCTGCGTGGGTGAAGCGATCGGTCAGTCGAACGTCTTACGTACCGGTCAAACGTTGAAAGGGAAGCGCGGGTGAAGAGTGACGACGGGAAAAGTCCTTAAGGATCGGCGTGCACCACGCCAACGGGGTCGTATGGGAAGCAGTCTCACCGCCGTTTTCCTCCGCATCCGCGTCCGCGCGTCGCACGCGTATCGCGCACGGATCGTGCGCGTTGCTCGGCTCGCGCGTCAGCGTCAGCGCCGCGCCGAGCGCGAGCCGCGCCTTTCCGCGCGCGTACTCCGCGCGGCCGTGGCCGACGAGGTGCACGACGACGGTAGTCGCGGTTCCGGTTCCATCGCGCGCGTCGTCGTCGTCGTCGTCTAAGGGCCATTCCATACGAGCGAATGTCGGGGTGGATTTCAAAGGCGTCGAGGGCGGGGATTGAACGCGAGGGATGGGCGGAGAGACGCGCCGGCAAAAGTCCTTAAGGATCGGCGTGCACCACGCCAACGGGGTCGTATGGGAAGCAGTCTCACCGCCGTTTTCCTCCGCATCCGCGTCCGCGCGTCGCACGCGTATCGCGCACGGATCGTGCGCGTTGCTCGGCTCGCGCGTCAGCGTCAGCGCCGCGCCGAGCGCGAGCCGCGCCTTTCCGCGCGCGTACTCCGCGCGGCCGTGGCCGACGAGGTGCACGACGACGGTAGTCGCGGTTCCGGTTCCATCGCGCGCGTCGTCGTCGTCGTCGTCTAAGGGCCATTCCATACGAGCGAATGTCGGGGTGGATTTCAAAGGCGTCGAGGGCGGGGATTGAACGCGAGGGATGGGCGGAGAGACGCGCCGGCAAAAGTCCTTAAGGATCGGCGTGCACCACGCCAACGGGGTCGTATGGGGACCAGTGTATAGAACGCACCTAAATCGATCTCGATCGGGGCGTCCTCCGCGCCGTCGCCGCCGCCCGCGGCCCGCCGCCGCTTCGCCGTCGTCTCGACGCGATTCTCGACGTCGTCGCGCGACGCCGCCGCCGCCGCCGCCGCCTGCTCCTCTTTCGCGGTCTGCTTGAACAGCGCGCCCGCGGTCGTGAACGCGCTGCAGCTGGAATTAGGGCCGTTCTATACGAGCGAAAGTCGGGGTGGAGTTGAAAGGCGTCAGACGGAGTTGAAAGGCGTCGAGGGCGGGTATTGAAAGCGAGGGGTGGGCGGAGAGAGACGACGGCAAAAGTCCTTAAGGATCGGCGTTCACCTCGCGAACGGGGTCGTATGGGGACCAGTGTATAGAACGCACCTCATTCGAGACGGAGGACGCGGACGCCCGCAGCGCGACCGCCGCGGTGGTGAATCCGCCGCGCGCCGCCGACGCGGAGGGAACGCCGACGCCGCGCCCGAGGAAGCCTGCGGAGAGGAGGAGAGGGGGGCGGGGGGAGGACGGCGGGAGGGTGAGGCGCGAGGGCTTCGGACGCGCGCGAGATCCGCCGCGCGACGACGACGACGACGATCTGATGGCAGATCGATCTGGGCGCGCGCGGACGGGGAAGACGCGCGCGCGTCGTGGCGAGGGCGTCGACGCGACGTCGCACCTCCGATGGATCGCTGTCCGGGCGCCTCCTCGAGCGATCGTTTCGTCCCCATGCCGCCGCGCGCGCGCGTCGTCGCGCGCGCGCGCGTGCGGGGAGTGGACGACAGCGACTCGAGCGCGTCGTGTGCTCGTATCGACGACAGCGACAGCTCGCGGCGATCGGCTTTGAAAACTCAGCTTTGAAAACTCAGCTTTGAAAACTCAGCTTTGAAAACCCAGCCGTCGCGACTGAGCAACCCCCCGCCCGGTCAACTCACCCTGTTGAAATCGTCTTCATCGGAACGCCCAACAAAAATGCTTCAACAGAAAGTCGTTGTAGAGCGCGTCAGGTCGTTGACCATCACAACGCGTCGCTCGCCGCCATGCCCGGCTTCGACCGCCCCGCGCCGTCGACCGCGACGCGCCTCGGCCCGTCGTTCCCGTGGCAGGAAGAGAACGCCTTGCAGCGACACTGGACGCTCGCGGCGCGGGGGAAGGCGCCCGCGCGCGACGAAGGACCCGACGCCCCACTCGACTTGGACGCGTGGATCAGGCGCGTCCGCGGCGACGACGACGGCGACGACGGACGCGCCGGGAGCGCGAGCGCGCCGCGCGGCGCGGAGGAGGAGGAGGAGGAGGAGGAGGAGGCGCGCGTCGAGCCCGCGGCGCGCGGCGGGGACGAAGAAGACGGCGACGCGCGCGGCGCGAACGATGAGGATGTCGCCGCGAGCGGGGGCGCGGCGCGCGATTGGAACAACCCCGCGCCGCCGAGCTTGGAGGACGTCCTCGCGTCCGGGGCGATGAAGCGCGACGCGACCGTCGCGCAGAGCCTCGCGGGGGGGTACCGAAGGTTCTACTGCGAGGACGCGTACTAGTAGCTAGCCAGCCGCTCTCGTGTGATGTCGCGCTCTTCAAATCCGTGTATTACATTCATTCGCCGGGAACGACGCAGCGCCCGCTAAGGGCCGTTCTATACAAGCGAACGTCGGGGTGGAGTTGAAAGGCGTCAGATGGAGTTGAAAGGCGTCGAGGGCGGGTATTGAAAGCGAGGGGTGGGCGGAGAGAGACGACGGCAAAAGTCCTTAAGGAATGGCGTTCACCACGCCAACGCGGTCGTATGGGGACCAGTGTATAGAACGCACCTAAGGGATTGTGCTGAGCTCTTTCCTCAGCCACTTGTTCCCGTCCGGAAACAGGATGCCGTCGCCGTCCCACGTCCCGGTGAACTTCTCGCCGCTGCCGTCCTTCTGGTCGAAGTCGATCAAGATGCTCCCGTCGTCCTGCGACGGACGGACGGATTGGGTGTTCGCGGCGTCAGAAAAAGGTAATAAGCCGAGCCGCGCGGCGACGCAAGCTGTTTATCTTATAGCTGTACCGTCGCGCACGGCGGCGACGGTGAGAGGAACCGCCCAGAGAGAGAGAGAGAGAGACGGAGAGCGGAGGCGTGCCAAACTAAACCGCGCCGCGCCATCGCGCGCACCTTGGCTATCTTCCCTTCGATCCTCCACGGGTTGATCTTCCCCTTCGCGATGGCGTCCGCCTCGGGGTCGTTCCATCGTTCGAAGCGACGAATGTCGGGGTGGAGTTCATAGGCGTCAGATGGAGGAGTCGAAAGGCGTCGACGTCGGGGATAGAAACCGTGGGGTGGGCGGAGAGAAACGAACGCCGGGAGATAATAAAGTCCTTGAGGAATTAAGTTCACAACGCCAACGCGGTCGTACGGGGACCAGTGCGAGATGGGACGCGCCTCGTTCTTCTTCTTGTAGCCGCGGCATCCCGCGCCCTCGCGGAACGGCACGGGGTCGATGCCGGTGATGACGCCGTTCGCGTCGACGGCGCGCGGGCAGTGCGGGTGGTTCGGGTCGATGTACGCGCCCTCGAAGACCGTGGACGCGATCGCTGATGAGCCTGATGAAGCGAGGGAGGACGCGAGCGCGGTCGCGAGCGCGGTGGCGAGGAACCGCCGGCGCGGCGCGGCGGCGGCGTCGACGACGACGACGACGTCGTCGGTCGCGTTCGCGTGCTTCTTAGCCGGATCCGCGCTCGAGCTCGCGGCGGCGACGACGACGCGCGCGGCGCGGGGTGGTCGGCGCGACGCGCGGAGCGCCGTCCGCGGCGAGAGGGAGAGCGCGGAGGACGCGAGGACGTGCGAGGGCATCGCGCGGGGGGGTGGAGTGACGACGGTCGCGACTCGAGAGGCGCGCGCGATCTGTTTTATCCACTCGCGCGAAAACGAAGAAACCGCGGGAAGAACTGAAAGAACCTGAAAGAACGACGACGATCCGATCGATTCAAACGCCACTGCCGTCTGCGCGCTCCTCTCCGCGACACGATGGCGGCGAAAGGAAAAGCGAAAGGGAAAGGGAAAGCGCCGAGCGCCGCCGACGCCGACGCCGACGCGACCGACCGACCGACCGCGACCGAGCCGACCGCCGCGAAGGAGACGGATCTGGAGGACGAGACTCCCCCCCCAATCAAGCGCACCGCTCTGGAGGACGCGGACGCGATCGTCGCCGACGCCGCGCTGACCGACGCGCAGAAGCTCGACGCCATGCGCGCGCTGCTCCTCGACCGCGACGCCGCGCACGACGCGAGGGCGAAGAAGCTGCGGACGAGAGAATCGCGCGCGCTCGCGGCCGCGGGCGTCGTCGCGGTCGAGCGCGACGCCGCGCGAGACGAGCTCGGAAAGGCGCTTCACCTCAAGGACAAGCTCGAAGCGCTGTGCCGCGAGCTGCAAAAGACCAACAAGGCGGTCGTCGACGGCGCGAAGATCGCCGCGGAAGAGGAGTCGAAGCGCCGCGAGGAGCTCAGCGCGAAGTTCGAGGGCGGGCTGACGGACATCAGGTGCGTTCATAGCACACTGGTCCCCATACGACCCCGTCGGCGTGATGAACGCCATTCCTTAAGGACTTTTGCCGGCGTGTCTCTCCGCCCAGGGTCCCTCGCTTTCAATCCCCGCCTACGATACCTTTCAACTCACCCTGACGCCTTTCAACTCCACCCCGACGTCGCTTTGTATGAAATGGCCCTCAGCGCGAAGCTCGAGGCGCACGGCGCCGAGCGCGACGCGCAGACGAAAGAGAACGCGACGCTGCGCGGGCATCTGGAGAGTCTGATGCAACGCGCCGAGGCGCAGCAGGCGCGTCCTGGTTCACACTGGTTTCCATACGACCGCGTTCGCGTGGTGAAGGCCGTTTCTTTAGGACCTTTGCCGTCGTTTCTCTCCGCCCACCCCGCGCTGCTTTCAATCCCGACACGCCGCGACGCCTTTCGACTCCGTCGTCTGACGCCTTTCATCGACTCCGCCCCGACGTCGCTCGCTTCGTACATTCTATGGAACGGCCCGCAGAAGCACTTCGAGAAGGCCAAAGAGGCGTTTGAGCTGGAGAAGCGGCTGTACGAAGCTCGGCTCGAGGAGAGCAACGAGCGACTCAGGGCGATGGAAGCGCACGCGGAGGAGCTGCGAGGGACGTGCGTCGCAGCGGGGAAGAGAGAGAAGGAGGCGCTCGCGCAGCTCGTGGAGTACGGCGAACGTTTCGCGACGTTTCAGGACACGATCAAGCAGTCGAGCGAGACGTTCGAATCGTTTCGCGTGGACATAAAAGATCTGCGAAAGCGCCTCGAGAAGAGCGAAAAGGAGAAGCGAGAGATGGAGGTGAAGACCGCGAAGAGCGACGTCGTTCTGATCGAGACGACGCAGGAGCGCGAGGAGTGGCGTCGACACGCGGAGGCGTATAAGCTGAAGGCTGGGAAGTTGGAGGCGTTGTGTCGGACGCTCAGCAAACGCGCGGGCGCGGAGGAGGAGGGGGGGGGGCTCGCCGCGGACGGCAAGGAGAACGACGCCGTGAACGCGTGAGTGAGATGAGATGGATGCGTTGTATTTTTTTGATCCGTACGTGTGATGAGTTGCTATCGACATCACCGCGCCACGCCGCGCCGCAACTGACTCCTACGGGGTGTCTATTCGTAATTAATTAAGTTGTTCCTACTGTAGGCTACAGGTACTGTTTATCGCTCGCGCGATTCGCGCGCCTCCGCGGCGATCGCCGCCGCCGTCGCCGCGTCCCTCCGCCCCGCGTCGATCATCCTCTGGACGATCTCGTTCGCGTACCGCCGCCTGCTCTGCTCCTCGTCCTCGCCCGCGCAGTCCGCGTCGTCGTCCGCGACGCCGCCGCACACTTTCCCGCGCGCGCCGGATCCTTCGTTGAGCGCGAGTCGAACGCCCTATCGAAGGCGCGTCGGTGGGTCGGTCGGTCGGTCGGTCAGTCGTCGAAGTCCTTAAGAAATGAAGTCCACCGCGCCAACGCGGTCGTATGGGGATTAGTCAGGCGTAAACGAACGAACTCATCGCGCACCTCCGGGGTGAACCGCGGTCCGCCGAACCCGTCGACGCCGACGAACGACCCGACCACGTCCCGGTCGCGGTACACCAACGTCGTCGGCAGGTTTTTATCCGGATACCCGGGCACGCACTCGCGCCCCGGGATCTTCACGAATTTGGTCCGCGGGTGCTTCGCGGCGAGCTCGTCCATCGCCGTCGCGAGCGCTTCGCTCTGGACGCAGTGCCCGCCGGGGCGGTACCTGAGGGCGAAGCGACGATCGGGGAAGCGTCGGTCAGTCGCGCGGGTGAAGAGCGTCGCCGGGAGATTCTGAAGTCAAGTCCTCGAGGAACGGCGTTCACGTCGCGAACGGGGTCGTACGAAGCGAGGACCGGTGTGAAACTCGACGACGCACATGAGGACGACGACGTGGTGCGACGACGACGCGTCGGTGACCTCCGACAGGAACGCGTCTCGAGCGATGTCGCGGACGGCGCCGAAGCGCGGGACGGACGCGGAGGCTTTGAGCTCCGCGAGTCGCTCGCGCCTGGCGGCGCGGGCGGGAGGAGGAGGAGGAGGAGGAGGAGGAGGAGGAGGGCGGGTCAGCTGATTGAAAGCGAGGGACCCTGGGCGGAGAGATGCGCCGGGAAAAGTCCTTAAGAAACGGCGTTCACCACGCCGACGCGGTCGTATGGGGACCAGTGTGCAGAACGACGACGCGACGGTCGAACGACGGACGGATGGATGGGCGGTTCTCTCGGCGTCGGCACCCTCCCCGCCGGGGCGTCGTCGCTCGCGTCGCGTCGCGTCGTGTCGCGTCGCGTCGCGCACCTGTACGTCTCCAGGAACGCGTCGTCCGCGAACGCGTCGTCGTCCTCCATCTCCTCGAGCGCGTCCGCGCCGAGCGCGTCCACGCGCGCGGTCGCGACCGATCGCGACGGCGCGGCCGCGATCTCGCGCGCCTCGTCCTCCTCCTCCGCGCGCGGCGCGAACGGCGCGGGCGGGGCGCGCGGCGGAGCGCGCGGCGGCGCGTTCCCGAGCCGCGCGTGGATGTCGTACCACTCCGTGGTCTCGCCCTCGGCGCCGCGGTGGACGACGTGGCCGTAGTCGGCCGGCATCGCGCGCGGCGAGGGCGAGGGAGCGCGCGCGTCGATCTGATTGATGAGCTGCGAGCGCTGCGGCTGAGTCGCGAGTCGTAAAACTGGAAAAATGTTTTACCCTTGGTCATCGACGGGTTGGGAAGGATGTGCAAGGAGTTCTTGGCGTTCCAGAAGCAGGTCGCGATGAAGCAAACCCGGCGTTATGACAGCTACTACGTCGGGGGTTTGAGCGAGAAGGACGCTGCCGCGTACGTCGCGAAGATAAAAAGGTACAACATCGCGCGCATCCAAATTCTACACCGTATGGGTCGTGAGACGTGCGTTGGGCTACACGCACGTCAGCGAGAGGATGCGAGGCGAAGTGAACACCCCCGGAGCAGGAGCACTCGTCTTCACTCAACCGCGTTAAGGGGTGTTCGCGTTGTACAGCGAGAGCTAGCTAGATAAACTGACTTACAGTCAGTCACTGTAAATACGATCAACCTTTCTCGAAAAATGTCGTGGCTTGATGAGCGAAATCTCTAGAAATCATCGGCGGCGGCGGCGTTCCTCCGCGCACGTCTACGTCTACTCGTCAATCGAACTTCACCCCCGACGTGACCCCCCGCTCAGTCTGCTTCTTCCGCACGGCCATCGCCTCCGCGCGCGCGAAAAACTGCTCCTTCGCGAGCGTTCGCGTGAGCCGCAAATAATCGTCGAGGTCGATCTTCTGCCTCTCCAGATTCTGAGGGTCGAGGGTCCACGCGAAGCGACGAACGTCGGGGTGGAGTTCAAAGGCGTCAGTTGGAGGAGTTGAAAGGCGTCGCGTAGGTGTGTCGGGATTGAGAGCGGCGAGGGGTGGCGGGCGGAGAGAAACACACGCCGGGAGATAAAGTCCTTAAGGATCGGCGTGCACCGCGCCGACGCGGTCGTACGGGAACCAGTGTAAACGTGGACGCGCCTCGTCCAGGCAGTCCATCGCGTCCTCGAGCGCGTTGTCCCTCGCGACCGCGCGCAGGATCTGATCGCTCCACGCGTCTTCGGTCGGAAAGGCGGCGTCGCACGCGGCGGTGGCGGTTGACGTTCCATCTTCCCCGTCCCCGTGGGCCCCGTCGTCGCTCAGCCCGACGAGCTTCGACTCGTTCTCCTCAAGCCACGCTCTCAGCGCCGTCGTCGCCGCAGCTGTTCGCCCGACCCTGCTCTCGCGCTCTCTCCTCTCCCTCCGCAGCGACTCTAACCCCTCCTCCACGATCGCGCGTCGCCGCGCGATCTCCGCCTGAAGCGCGAGAAGCCGCTCCGCCTCCGCGTTCGTCGCCTCTCGCGCGCGCTCGAGCTCTCCGCTCAGACGCGAAGACAACGCGGAGACGGCTCGGGATTTAAACGTCGCCTCCGCCGTCGCCGCCGCCGCCGCCGCCGCGGTTCGATCCCCGAACGAGTTCGCGCGCGTCGGCGGGGAGGGATACGCGGAGGAGGCTGAGGCGGTCGACGGCGGCGGCGGCGGCGGCGGCGGCGGCGGCGGCGGCGGCGGCGGCGAGGGGCCCCCGGCGCCCGCGCCCGCGCGCGCGGCGTCGCGCAGCAGCGTCTCCCGCTCGCGCGCGACGTCCGCGCGGAGCTGCTCGCGCTCTCGCTCCTCCTCCGCGCGGCGTCGTTGGAGCTCCTGCAGCCGGCGCTGCTGCCCGAGGAGCCCTCCGCTCTCGCCCGCGACCGCCGCCGCCGCGCCCGCCGCGCCCGCCGCGCCCGCGGTTCGATCCCCGACGCCGCCGACGCCACCGCGCGTCTCAGGGTCGTTCCATACAAGCGAACGTCGGGGTGGAGTTGAAAGGCGTCAGAAGCGGAGTTGAAAGGCGCCGAGGGCGGGGATTGAAAGCGAGGGACCCTGGGCGGAGAGATGCGCCGGGCAAAGTCCTTAAGGATCGGCGTCCACCACGCGAACGCGGTCGTATGGGAACCAGTGTATAGAACGCACCTCAGGCGCGGAGGTCGGGTACCCGTACGCGTTCGTCGCCTCTGAAGGGTGCGGCGGGCGGTGCGGCGCGCGGTAGCTCGGTCCGCCCCCGCGGCCGGGCGGCGCCGGATACGTCGCGCCCGCCGCATTCGCATTCGCCGCCGGATATGTCGAATGCGACTGCGACTGCGACTGCGACTGTGTTGAACGCGTAGAGGTCCCCGCCGGCTTGGCGTAGAGGGGCGGGTCGTCGCCAAACGCTTCGGACAACGACGTCGACAGATCCGCGATCGTGCTCCCCGCTCGGACGTTCCACCGGTCCAAGTACCGCGACCGCACGAGCCCGCTGCCGTCCACGAGCGTGTGCCCCGGTTTGATGATCATCGACGGCGTCGGGTGCACGTAACAGATGGGCGCGGTCGCGGGGAAGTTTTCGGGGAGGTACACCTGATGGGGGTCGGTTCGATTCGATTCGATTCGATTCGATTCGATTCGATTCGATTCGATTCGTCAGCGGCGGAGTGATGACGTGGCGGTTTACGTGGTGGTCGTTCGTCGTGATCGAGTGATGATGATGACGTGGCGCCCGCGTGGTATTCGGGGGCGGCGCGACGCGGCGCGACGCGACGCGGCGCGTCAGAGGTCTCACTCACCTTGAGAGGGATGTTGTACTTGACGCCGTGGTAAAATATCGGCACGGTGCCGTCCGCGCGAAGGAGATGCACGACGCGTCCGTCGTTGTGCGTGAACGGGTCGTCGCGGACGCTCAGAGACGGATACCTCTGCGAATTGGCGCGCGGGGGGGGCGACGCGATGGATGAGCGCTTAGGAATGGAATCGATAACACCACACGGCGAAGCGATCGAGACGTCGGTTCGGTCGCGCGCGGATCGGGGGAAGGGAAGGACGCGCGAGATGAGATCAGATCTGATCTGACGCGCGAGCGCTCTCGTCGTCTCTAGCTACTAGGGTTGACGGCGACGGCGACGGCGACAGGCGACGACGACGACGGCGCGCACCTCGACGACGGCCATGAGCTGGTCGTACACGTCCCGCTTGTGATTGGGCGCGTACGGCAGCGGCGCGCGGCCCGCGCCCGCGAGCACCGCGGTGAGGTACTCGGACGCGTGCGCCATCGCGCGCGGAGATCAGTGCTGTGCCGACGGGAGCGCGTTCTGTTTTCGTTTGCGTGTTGACGACGAGATTTCCAGGAACAGAAAGATTTCTCAATGCTCTTCGTCTTCGTGATACAGTACTGTATGATGAACTCATCGCTCGTCGCTCTCGAGAAGCTCCTCCCTGCCTCATCATCCCTCATCGCACCGCATCTCGTCTCGTCTCGTCTCGTCTAAGGTGCGTTCTATACACTGGTTCCCATACGACCCCAATGGCGTGGTGAACGCCGATCCTTAAGGACTTTTCCCGGCGTCTCTCTCCGCCCATCCCTTGCGTTCAATCCCCGCCCTCGGCGCCTTTCAACTTCAACTGACGCCTTTCAACTCCACCCCGACATTCGCTTGTATAGAACGCACCTAACTCGCGTACGTCGCGCCCTCGCCCTCGCCGCCGCCCTCCGCCGCCGCCGCGCGAAGATTCAACTCCTCCGCCGCGTCGGCTTTAAACAAAACCTATACGAGCGAACGTCGGGGTGGAGGCGTTCAAAGGCGTCAGAAGCGGAGTTCAAAGGCATCGAGGACGGGGATTGAAACCGTGGGGTGGGCGGAGAGAGTCGCCGGGCGAAGTCCTTAAGGATCGGCGTTCACCACGCGAACGCGGTCGTATGGGAACCAGTGTGAAGGGATAGAACGCGCCTCCCTCGCGACGCGCTCGGCCCACTCCCGTCCGAACCACTTCGCGAAGACAGCCACCGCGGGGTCCCTCTCGCGTTGCCACTCGTCGTGCGCGTCCTGCGCCGCCGCCGCGCCCGCGGGGGTCAACACCGGGAGTGGTCTTAGGGTCGAGGGTCCGTACAAAGCGACGAATGTCGGGGTGGAGTTGAAAGGCGTCAGAAGCGGAGTTGAAAGGCGTCGAGGTGTGTGCGTCGGGATTGAAACCAGCGAAGGGTGGTGGGCGGAGAGACACGCCGGGAAGTAAAGTCCTTAAGGATCGGCGTTCACCACGCCGACGCGGTCGTATGGGGACCAGTGTGAGGGACACGACCCACCTTCGCACGCTCGCCGCTTCCGACGCAGCGTCGCGGGATCGCGCGCGGAGCGCCGAGTTGGACGCCTCCTCGAGCGCGGCGTCCGAGACGGAAGAGGACGCGTCCTTCTTGCCGTCGCGCGCGTCGTTGTCAATCTCCGCGCGCAACGCCGCCACCGTGGCTCGCAGCGTCTCGACTTCCTTACGCAGCGCGGCGACTTCCGGGAGCGGCGCGCCGCCGGGGTCGGCGTTTCGGTGATCGGACGTAACTAACGCGGAGTTCCCCGCGGAATTGGCACCCGAGTCGGCGCCCGAGTAATCAGCGCCCGAGGCATTCGCGCCCTCCCCGCCCACGCGCGCGTCGAGAATCTCCAGGAAAGCCCTCGCGTACGCGGTAGTCGCCTCCGCCGTTCTTCTCGACAATAAATCCACGCCGCAGCCGGCGTCGAGAGCGTCGCCGCCGCCGCCGCCGTCGACGTCCGCGGCGCACACGTCGTCGACGTCCACGGGGAACTCCGCGCCGGCATCGCGCGCGGCGTCGCGCGCCTTCGCGTTCGCCATCGCGCGCGCGTCAGGCCGCGCGAAGAGCATGCCCTCGCTGAAGAATAACGCGTCTGAGGGTCGTTCCATACGAGCGAACGTCGGGGTGGAGTTGAAAGGCGTCAGTTGAAGTTGAAAGGCGCCGAGGGCGGGGATTGAAAGCGAGGGACCCTGGGCGGAGAGAGACGACGGCAAAAGTCCTGAAGGATCGGCGTTCACCACGCGAACGCGGTCGTATGGGGACCAGTGTATAGAACGCGCCCTCGTAAAATTTCTTCGACGGCGTCGTCAGGTTCAAATCCGCGAAGGACTCGCGCAGTTTCACGAGCTTCGGCGTGAACCGCGAGACGTACGCGTCCTCCTTCGAGAGCGGCTGCAAATCCACGCCGGCTAAGATCTTCTTACCCCCCGCGAGGCACAAGAGGTCGACGCCGAGCAGCGGCGCGTCGGTGAGGTGCGACGCGCGCGACGACGACGACGACGACGACGACGACGACGACGACGACGACGACGACGACGACGACGATGACGACGACGACGACGACGCGGCTTCCGACGCGTCGTCCGACGTGTCGCCTCTCGATTCGTCGGCGCCCGAATCCGATTCGGACGACGACGAATCCGATCGGGTGAGGCTCCCGACGGCGTGGCACCGCGGGTACGCCACCGCGTTGAATATCTGCGCCTCGTCCCCGGCGTCGACGTACGTGAACCGAATCTTCCGCAGCGTCTCGCACTCGTACACCCACGTCCTCGCGCGCGCGACGACGGGCCCTCTATCCCCCCCGGCCCCACCCCCCCCCGCCGCGGTCCCGACCGCGCTCGCGAGCTCCGGCGCGATCGCGACCGGGATCAGAGGCCCGAGATGGGCGTCGAGGAGCGCGAAGAGCTCGGCCATGTGCGCGCGCCACGACACGATGGCGGGGTTTCGCGGGGGCGGGACGGCGCGATCGCCGAGCGCGCATCGCGCGGGCGTCCACGACGCGTCGTCGTCCGGGTCAGGGCCTTCTTCTTCTTCTTCCGGACCTTCGGAGGAGGAGGACGCCGTCGCGGGTTCGGACGACGACGCCGCGCGAGGACGGAGGAGGTTGAGGGGGGGGGCCCATCCGACTCGGCATGCTGGTGGGAGTAGACGAGAGACGCGCCGAGAGGAGGGAGGATAGATATCGGAAGCGCGCATGTGCGACGACGATCTCGTCGGACGCCGCGCGCCGGCTCCCGTTCCTCGTCCGCGCGTCGAAGCCGCGCGCGACGGCGCGAGCGCGCGCCGCGAGACGGGCGGCGCGAGGGAAGCCGCCGACATCGCGTCGACGCGCGCGCTGGACCAGTGGAGGAGGGGGGGGGCGTAGCCCGTTCGTTGTTACTTTTGATACGCCCGCCCGCGACGAAAATCTTTCCGTGGATTTGGATTTTTTCTCAGTCAGTTTCGCTTTCGACGCGTCCTCGTCAACGTGGCAGTTCCCCAGGCGCGGACGACGCGAGGATGGGCGAGGCCCAACGCGCGTCCACGAGCGCGACGACGAAGACGTGCGCGAGGTGCAAGACGACGTACGAGAACACGCAGGAGAACTTCCCGCACGGCTCGAGCTGGTGCATCGTGTGCGCGCCCCCGGACAGCGACTCGGATTAGGAGGAGGGACCGCCCTCGCGGAGAGATCGGAAGGATCGAAGTAGTACTGTAGTAGTCCGCCCGCGATGTTCGGCGCCGGCGCGACGCGCCTCGGCGCGGGCGGCGCCGGCGGGAGCGGCGCGCGCGGACCGCGATTTCATCGCCGCGGCGAACGAAGCGGCGTCGGCGCGCGGCGCGGCCGCGGCGTCGGCGCGACGAACGACGCGAACGGAGGAGGAGGACCGGGGTCGTCTCGTCTCGTCTCGTCTCGTCTAAGGTGCGTTCTATACACTGGTTCCCATACGACCGCGTTCGCGTGGTGAACGCCGATCCTTAAGGACTTTTCCCGGCGTCTCTCTCCGCCCACCCCTCGCTTTCAATCCCCGCCCGCGACGCCTTTCAACTCCATCTGACGCCTTTCAACTGACGCCTTTCAACGCCTTTCAACGTCGTCCGCGTCCGTCGGATGGAGGCGCGCGCCGCCCGCCGCGCTCGCGACCGGCGTCGCCGTCCTCGCCGCCGCCGCCGCCGCCGCCGCCGCCGCGCGGCGCCGGCGGCGAGCCGCCGCCGGCGACGGCGACGACGACGACTTCCTCTTCGCGCGGGAGTCGCCGTCATCGGACCCCTCGTCGCCGCGAACGCGAGCGACGCGAAGGGAGAACCTCCGAAACCCGCCGCCTGATGATACGCCGCAGTCGCGGCCGCCGCCCCTCCCTCCGATGGACGCGGACGAGCACCACGCCGCCGTCGACGGCTGGATCGACCGATGGCGCGAAGGTGCGTTCTCCTCACACTGGTTCCCATACGACCGCGTCGGCGTGGTGAACGCCGATCCTTAAGGAATTTATCTCCCGGCGTGTCTCTCCGCCCATCACCCCTCGCTGGTTTCAATCCCGACGCGCCTCGACGCCTTTCAACTCCGCTTCTGACGCCTTTCAACTCCACCCCGACCGATGGCGCGAAGACCCGCCGAGGATCGGCTTCCACCTGGACCGCGTCCACGAAAAGTTGACGCGACACAAGACGAGGTGAGTAATACGTCGTCATGGACCGACCGATGAAACTACGGCACGCTCACTCGATCGATCCGCCCCCCCCCCGCACTCACAGGCTTCTCGGCGAGGGCGTGACGTCGCCGCCGGAGACGTCCAAACGCGTGCTCGTGCCTCTGTGCGGGAAGGCGCGTTCATATTTACACTGGTCCCCATACGACCGCGTCGGCGTGGTGAACGCCGATCCTTAAGGACTTTTCCCGGCGCGTCTCTCCGCCCACACCTCGCTTTCAATCCCCGACCGCGACGCCTTTCAACTCCGCTTCTGACGCCTTTGAACTCCACCCCGACGTTCGCTTCGCTCGTACGGAAGAGCGTGGACATGACGTACCTCGCGTCGTGCGGGCACAGAGTGTACGGGATCGAGATCTCGACGGAGGCGATCGAGGCGTTTTTCGACGACGCCGGGTTGCCGCGGAGCGTCGACGACGCCGACGCGCACGCGCGGCCGAGAGCGCGAGCGGGCGCGGGGTCGGGGCTCGGGTCGCGCGACGACGACGACGGTTTTGGTTTCGGTTTCGACGAGGACTGGCGCGGCGCGAAGAACGTCAAGCGCGTCCACAGCTCCGGGAACATCGCCATCGCGGAGGGCGACCTCTTCGGCCTCGGGGTCTGGACGGGCCGCCGCGACGGCTCTGAGGGCCCGCGCGCGGCGAGGCGCGGGGGCCGGGGCGAGGGGAGGAGGCACTTTTTTCTGAACGACGACGACGACGACGACGACGACGGGCTCGACGACGCGTTCGACGACGACGACGACGCGGACGCGGACGCGCGCGTGGGCGCGCGCGGCAGCATCTCCTTCCGCGAGGAAGCGCTCAGGCGCGTTCTATCTATGCGAACGTTTTTCACCCCCCAACCTCGGTTTCAATAACTATTCGATCGCGCGGGTCCCTTTCAACTGACCGATGAACATCCCGTATTTCGTACGGAACGACACTCACTGCAGGTTCGCCGCCGGGGGAGGACCGAGGATGGACGCGGTGTATGACCGCGGCGCGCTCGTCGCCGTCGAGCCGTCTCTGAGAGAGCGTTACGCTGCCGTCGTCGCGCAGAGGATGGCGCGTTCTAGTATCACACTGGTTCCCATACGACCGCGTCGGCGTGGTGAACGCCGATCCTTAAGGACTTTTGCCGTCGTTTCTCTCCTCCCACCCCTCGCTTTCAATCCCCGCCCTCGACGCCTTTCAACTCCAACTGACGCCTTTCAACTCCACCCCGACATCGTTCCAGGCGCCGGGGGCGAAGATGCTCTTGATCGGCGTGGCGTACGACGCGTCATCACAACATAGTAACGGCTCGTCGCCGGACGTTACCGCCGGCGCCGCCGAAGAAGGAGAACATCGTAAAACGTCCGATAACGAACCGTTTTTTCTTGGTGGCCCGCCTTACTCGCTGACGGCGGCGGAGGTCCGCGCGCTGTACGAACCGCGCGGGGTGGACGTCGTGGAGATTCTCGCGAGCGAGGAACGCGTCGAATCCGCGCCGCCGCGGCTGCGCGAACGCGGGGTGACGTCGATGATCGAGACGACGTATCTGCTGAGGAAGCGAAGGCACGCGGAGGAGAAGAGGAAGAGACGCCGCCGCGGCGGGCGCGGGCTGATCGGCGGCTGAGGCGACGAGACGACGAGCGAGGAGCGGAAAAGAGAACGAACGGAATCGGAATCGGAATCGGAACGAACGAACGAACGAACGAACGATGAATCGAATCTACGAAATGTTAGTTTTCCGTCTCTTAGTCTGCGCGTACTGTACGTGTACCTTCCTTCGTGCCCGCTGAGCGTACTGTAGGGCTACGACTACGACCGAGCGCTCGCGCCCGTCGCGCACGTCGTCACACGCGCGCGCACGAACTGACAAAGCAACTCCGCGGGTTCGGCGTGATCCCCCCGACGCGCGTCACGCTCGCGGCCACCGTCTCCGTCGTCCGACCTCGTCGTCGCAGCAGCGTCAATTCCACCGCGTCGCCGCCGGCTGCGGTGATTGGCCGAGGGAAGACACGTGTCAGTCACGCGGGTATGTGATTGGTGGATAGCGTTCCCACGCGTCAAAACGTGAGGTTCATGACATAGCGCGCGAAAGGAAAGAACGCCCTAAGAAACGACGATCGACGCGCGAACGGGAGCGTACTGTATGGGAAGCAGTCCACAGTCTGTCTCACCGCCGCCGCCGCGCAGCGCGCTCGCGACGTCGGCCAGGCACCGCATCGCGCGCGTCTCCGCGCCGTTCACCGCGGCGATCTTGTCGTTTATCCGAACGCCCGCGTCGTGCGCGGGGCCGCTGGTCTTCGTGGGGAGGAACTCGATAACCGTGGGGTAGCCGTCCGGCGCGACGTAGACCTCGAGACCCACGCCGACGTAACCCGACGCCTCCGACGCCGACGCCGCCGCCGCGATGGCGGGCGGCGTCGCGCGCGCGAGATGGATCGACGCCGCGGCGACGACGGACGCGAGCGCGGCGGCGGCGGCGGCGCGAGCGGAGGCGGCGCGAGCGGAGGCGAGATCGTCGTCGAGATCGGGGCGGGCGCGGACGAGGACTGAGGGCCGTTCTATACAAGCGAATGTCGGGGTGGAGTTCAAAGGCGTCAGTTGGAGTTGAAAGGCGCCGAGGGCGGGTATTGAAAGCGTGGGATGGGCGGAGAGAGACGACGGCAAAAGTCCTTAAGGATCGGCGTTCACCACGCGAACGGGGTCGTATGGGGACCAGTGTATAGAACGCACCTGACCCATCTCGGAACCGCGCGAGAGCGACCGCGCGTCGACGCGACGACGACGACGACGACGACGACGACGACGCGCGGAGCGGCGCGCGCGGTCGCGGCGGCGACGCGCGAGGGGAAGCGCAGCGCGCGAGCATCCCGATCGACGCGGCGACGCGGCGGACGAGGCGCGCCGCGCGCGGCGACGCGGCGGACGAGGCGCGCCGCGCGCGGCGACGTCGTCTGAAATGGGATGGGCGAGGGCAGCAGGGCGCTTACGTGGAAAGGTTCGCCACGTGCCGGTTTGAGGGGCGGAGAAAAAGCGTTACGGAAAGCGCAAGCGCGTGAACGCGCTTCGCGCGGCGTCAACGCGTCACTTCATATCGCGCGCGCGCGTTCCCCGCGCCGCGCGTTCCTTCCCCCGTCCGCTTCGCGAGAGCGCGATATCGATATCGCGGCCGAAGGAAGCGCGATATCAGTCGGGAACCCACCATGGCGAGCGCGTCGCTGCCGCGCGGCGCGGGCGTCGCGCCCGCGAAGAAGATCGCCGCCGCGAGGGGCGTCGACGAATCATCACCGCGAGATCCCCCCGCGTCGTCGTCGTCGTCGATGCGGCGCGCGCCGAGCAACGAGCGGCTGCGTCTCCTCGCGGGACGACCGGGGGGGAGCGTCGTCTCCGTCGCCGGCGGTTCGATCCCCGGCGGCGGCGGCGGCGGCGACGAGCTCGTTCGCACGGCCGCTGACGACGACGACGACGCGACCGCCGCGGGGCGGCGCGGGCGCGAGATGACCGCGGTCGACGACGCCGCGGAAGGGCTCGCGCGATGGCCGTCGGCGCTGTCCGAGGAACGACGCGAGCTTCCGTCCGATACGGCGGAGGAGGAGGACGACGCGGAGGACGACGCGGAAGACGACGCGGAGGAGGAAGCGCCGGTGACGGTGCGACGCGACCGCGGAGACGTTTCGTTGTTCGCTTTTCGTTCGCGCGCTTTCAGATGTTTGTTTCTGTTGTTCCTCCGTCGCTCGTCGTCGCCCCCTTTTTTTAGATTAGACGACTTACCGCGCGCTCCTCCCCTTCTCGCCGCCGCCCTCAGGCGCGGGTCCCTCCCTCGCCGCCGTCCCCTCGTCGCGGACATCCTCCTCATCCTCCATTCCGCGAGCGACTCTCGTACCCGTCGCCGTTCACGACGCCGCGCGAGAAACTGACCGCGTTCGGACGTCGCGCGTGCGACGGAGACGCGCGCGAGCGGTGAGACTGGTCCCCATACGACCCCGTTCGCGATGTGAACGGCGTTTCTTAAGGACCAGACTTTCCCCGTCGTCCCGTCGTCGCGCTTCGCCCGCGCTTCCCTTTCAACGTACGTTTCGTTTGACCGGTGAGACGCACGATTGACCGACGCGTTCGTTCGTTCACCCGCGATCGATCAGGTCGCTGCTCGCCGCGGCGCACTGCTTCGCCGTCGGCGCCGCCGCGAGCGCGGGCAGATACGCGTTCGCGCTCTTTCCCGCGGCGCGGTGGCGTTTTATGGATGAGTTGTCTTTTATGGATATCCATGAAATAGCAGAACTCCAGAAGACGACGAACGCGACCCTGGACGTGATCTCCGCGTCGTCGTTCGCCGGCGGCGGCGTCTTGTGGTAGGGATCCCCTCTCTTCACCGTACGTCTTCGTTCGTTTTCATTACGTTTTCATTACAGGCTGTGGCAAATCGTCGCGAGAGGCTTTGAAAAAAACGCTTCGAAGAAATCTCCAGAAGATTACCGTTACGACGACGACGACACCGAAAGAGTACGACCCCCGACTCCGGATCGTCGTTCGATCGCGGCGCGCGTCGGCGGTGCCGTCGCGCGCTCTCCTACGCTCTGCGCGACGACGCTTTTCCTGTTCGCGTGCGCCGTGTCCGACGCGGCTTCGATGACGCCGTTCGACGCCACTTTTTTTCACTTGGCCGGCGAAAGGTGCTTTCTATCTCACACTGGTCCCCATACGACCGCGATGGCGTGGTGAACGCCGATCCTTAAGGACTTTGCCCGTCGTCTCTCTCCGCACATCCCTCGCTTTCAATCCCCGCCCGCGTTTCCTTTCAACTCCGCTTCTGACGCCTTTCAACTCCACCCCGACTTCGCTTCGTATGGAATGGCCGCGAAAGTCGCCAGCGGTTCGAGCGGTGGATCGCGTGGGTCCCGAGCGTCCTCGGCGCGGCGTCGTACGCCGCGACGGGCGCGCGTCGAGTATTCGTCGTCGGCGCGCGTCGTAAAGATAAAGATTCGAAGACGCCGACGCCTGACGTCGACCTGACCGCGCGTCGCGTGAACTACGAGGCGTGCGACGACGTCGACTGGAGCGCAGACGACGAGGGCTTGAACGCCGCGGCGTCGGACGAGTCCTACGACGAGCGCGATTTCGAACGCTCGAACGCGCGGCGTTTCTCGAGAAAAATCGACGCGCTCGTCGCGACCGTCGCGAGGGTCGCGCAGACGCCGTTGCATCTCCTCGCGTCGCTGTCTTTCCTGGACGAGTCCGCCGTCGTCGGCGCCGCCGAGGGCCTGGAATGGGGAGGATGGTCGTTTGGCGCGCAGCCCGCGGCAGCGGCGGCGATAACGTCCGTCGTTAATGCGTTGCGCGGCGTCGAGCAAGAATCCTTCGTCGTCTCGAGCTCGATGAGCGACCTCGAGGCGATTCGCAAAGAGAGCATCTTCGGAGACGCGAGCGGCGCGGACGTCGTCGCGGACCCGAGCGACTTCGAAGGTAGACTATCTATCACACTGGTCCCCATACGACCGCGTTCGCGTGGTGAACGCCGATCCTTAAGGACTTTTTTACTTCCCGGCGTACACGTACAGTATCTCTCCGCCCACCGCCCCTCGCTGTTTTCAATCCCGACACACCTCCCTCGACGCCTTTCAACTCCGCTTCTGACGTCTTTCGAGCGATTTCGAAGGGCTCGTCGGGAACGTCGCCGAGGGCGTCGCCGCGGCGGTGTGCGACGCCGCGGCCGCCGCGGCGGACGCGGCGACGTGCGCGGTGATCGCGATCGATCCGGGCGGCGGCGGCGGCGGCGGCGGCGGCGGCGGCGGTGAGACTGCTTCCCACACGTGCAACTCCGTTCGCGCGTCGATCGTCGTTTCTTAAGGAGTCTTTCCTTTCGCGCGCTATGTTATGAACCTCACGTTCGTTTTGACACGTGGGAATGATATCCACCAATCCCTTGCACGCGTGACTGACACGTGTCTTCCCTCGACCTATCACAGCTGGCGGCGCGGAGACGGCGGCGAGGCTCGCGCACCTCGCCGGCGGCGTGTTTTTATTCGCGTCGTCGGTGGCGTGGATCGTCGAGCTGCGCGCGTCTTCGCGGTTGGGGTGCGACCCGTCGAGGAAGTAGTAACGCACAGAAGTAAGACGTTACCATGCGTTCGAGGTTGAGCACGACGACGACGACGACGACGACGACGAACGACGAGCTTCTAGAACGCCGACACGTGTCAGCACTTTGTACGTTCTGTTGTACCCTGAAAATTTGTACTTTCGTACTTTCGTACGAAGGTAAAACATCGACATCGATGCGCCCCGAAGGAGCCGCGTCTCCCCGAACGAACCGCGTGATAAATCGTCGAGTCGCGCACGTTACGACGTCGTTCAAGAATGGTTTCGTCACAACGTCAGTCGTCGTCTATCGTCGCTTCGTTTCGCTCCTCGCGCGCGCGCCGGTCGCGAACGCGTCTTCGTCGTCGTCGTTCGCTCTCGCATCCTCGTCTTCAAAAGACGACGATCACGCTGGTCCCCATACGACCCCGTTCGCGCGGTGAACGCCGATCCTTAAGGACTTTGCCCGGCGCGTCTCTCCGCCCACCGTGTTCTCACGAGGCGACGTCAGAACACCCCGGCATGACTCGCTCCCACGCGTCCGCGTTTGCGCGCGCCATCTCCGACAACGTCTCCCCCGCCGCGGTAAACGCGTCGTTGATCTCTCGCTCTAAGGGCCATTCCAATACAAAAACAGTTCATCGGTCAGTTGAAAGGGGGAGCGATCAAATGTTGAAACCGGGCGATGGGTGAAAAACGTTTGTATAGAACGCACCTAAATCCGCGTGCAGCCGCGGGAGCTCCGTTCGCATCCTCGTCTTCATCCCTTCGAACCGCTCGTCCGCCTCCACCAGCGCCGCCTCCGCGGCGTCCGCCTCCGCCTTGAGCTCCTCGACCGTCGACGTCGTCGCGTTGGAGAGCTTCGCGGTGACCGCGGAGAGGACGCCGAAGAACCCGTTTGACGGCGGCGCCGGCGGCGGCGGCGGCGGCTCGCGCAGTTTCGCCTCGTGCAGCGCCCTCTTCTCCGTAGCGCGCTTCTTCGCCGTCGTCAGCCTCATGAGCGCGTCCGAGCGCAGGTCGATGGTTTCCTTCGCGACGCGCGTCAACTCCAACGCGCGTTTCAGGGGCTCCCGGAACGCGTCCGCGAGCGATCGCGCGCTCGCGTCCGTCGGCGCCTTGAGCGACGCCGCCGCGCCTCCCACCTGCGTGAACGCCTGCCCCAACCCCCCGGCCTCCGCGCCCAACAGCACCTTGGGAAGTCGGGGTGGAGTTGAAAGGCGTCAGTTGAAGTTGAAAGGCGTCGAGGGCGGGGATTGAAAGCGAGGGGTGGGCGGAGAGAGACGCCGGGAAAAGTCCTTAAGAAACGGCGTTCACCACGCGAACGGGGTCGTATGGGAACCAGTGTGATAAGAGAACCCCCCCACCTTGGCGCCCTTCTCTTCGCACTCGCCGAGCCGCGTCGCGCGTTCGCCGAAGGTAGCCGCCGCCGCGCCGACGTGGCACGCGCTCGCGATGACGGCGTCGCTCGCGGCGCAGAGCTTCTTCAGCCGCTCTTCGATCGTCAGGAGGTACTCCGTCGCCGCGAGGTACTTGGGGTCCTCCTCCGCGAGGAGCGTCTCGACTTTCGCGCCGGCGACGGCGGCTTCCGTCGCCGCGGTGAGTTGGTTCCACCAGCCCCCCGCGGCGCTGAGCGCCGAGGGTCCATCGTTCAAAGCGACGTCGGGGTGGAGTTGAAAGGCGTCAGAAGCGGAGTTGAAAGGCCTTCGTCGCGGTGTGTGCGTCGGGATTGAAACCAGCGAGGTGTGGGCGGAGAGACGCGCCGGGAGATAAAGTCCTTAAGAAACGGCGTTCACCACGCGAACGGGGTCGTATGGGGACCAGTGTGACATAGAACGCGCCTGAGCGCCGTGCCGGTCGCGCCGCGGTTGTACCACGCCGCCTCCGCGTCTTCGGGCATCTCTTGCGTCGATAGGAACGCGCGGAGCTCGTCCGAGGGCGCCGCGATCGGGTTCGTCGCGAGCTTGGACATGAACAGCGTCAGGCCCGCGGCTCTCTGGCGTAAAAACTCGGGATGAAACGCCGCCGTCGTCACCGTCTTCTCCGGGAGCGGGTAGAGCACCTGTGACGCGGTTAAGCGACGAACGTCGGGGTGGAGTTGAAAGGCGTCAGAAGCGGAGTTGAAAGGTATCGAGGGCGGGGATTGAAAGCGAGGGACCCTGATGGGCGGAGAGAGACGACGGCGAAAGTCCTTAAGGATCGGCGTTCACCGCGCCGACGCGGTCGTATGGGGACCAGTGTCGCGCACCACGCCGGGGTACGTCGCCACGAGGCGATCGCGCAGCCGCGTGAAGTCGGAGAACCGACGCGTGACGCTGTGCGTCGTGGGCGTAGGGTTCGAAGGCGTAGGCGTAGGAGTGCCTGTCGTGCTCGTACTCGCGCTCGTACTACTCGCGGCGTCGCTAAAGCCGCGGGAGACGACGGCGTACCGCGCGTACGCGCCGACCCCATCGCCAACCTTCACCGGGTCGGTCACGAGGATCGCGGGCGCAATCCCGCCGCCGCCGCCGCCGCCGAGGGCGGACGACGACGTCGGCGGTTCGATCCCCGGCGGCGTCGCGGGCGTCGTCGCGGGCGGCGGCGTCGGCGCGACGGGGGCCGCGAGCGGCGACGCCGCGGGCGCGATCTCAGAGCTCGACGTCGTCGTCGGCGCGGGCGTCGGGTCGTCGAGGACGAGGCTGGAGTACAGCGGCGGCGGCGGGTTCAGCGGCGGCGCCGCCGGCGGCGGCGGCGGCGTCGCGTCCGCGACCCCGACCGCGTCCGCGTCCTCGCTGGACATCATCGTTTCGTCCGTCCTCTGCGCGAGGCGGGGGGCGACGCGCGCGCGATTATCGATCTGGGGCGCGGGGTGGCGGGACCGCGAGGCGAAATGAAGTCTGGTTTGGCTTTGGCGCGAAATCGAAAACCGACCTCGAAAACCGGCACCCGCGCTCGAATTTTGAAAGCGGCTCGATGAACTTTTGAAAGCAAGTCTGGTTTCAGCGACGACCGCGACCTTCTACTGCGACTGGAGCGGTTATTGTAAGCGGTGCACCGACCGCGACGACCCAGATCCGTTCGAATACGGAACTCGCGCGCGATCGCTTCGCCGCCGCGGCGCACACCCCGCGCGCGCTGACCTCCGCCCGCGACCTCGACTCGCGCCCACCACCGCGAACGCGCGGAGGAGAACGGCCGAGCGTCGCCCTCGCGAAGAAGAAGACCGGAGCGAAGAGCGACGGACGCGGCCCGTGGCTCGCTGTGTGGAGAAGAAAGTCAAACCGACGAGAGAGAGGTGGCGGATCGATCGATCAGGCGCGTTCTATACACTGGTTCCCATACAACCGCGTTCGCGTGGTGAACGCCGATCCTTAAGGACTTTTCCCGGCGTGTCTCTCCGCCCACCCCTCGCTTTCAATCCCCGTCCTCGGCGCCTTTCAGCGCCAACTGACGCCTTTGAACTCCACCCCGACGTTCGCTTGTATAGAACGGCCCTCAGATCAGATCTTCGAGACGCGCGACGACCGAGAGAGAGACGACCGCGCGCCATGAATCCGAACCTCGACGCCGGCGGCGGCGGCAAGACGAACGTCTCGAACTACGAGATGAACGGCAACTCGTTCCGGAACACGATGCACTCGCTCAACTACGGCAACGTCATGGAGGCGGCGGCGAGAAACTACATGAAGGAGGTCAAGGCTGACGAAGCCGCCGGTGCGAACGTCGGGCCGGTGCAGTACGACCTCGAAGACTTAGGTGCGTTCTATACACTGGTTCCCATACGACCGCGTTGGCGTGGTGAACGCCGATCCTTAAGGACTTTTCTCGGCGCATCTCTCCGCCCACCCCTCGCTTTCATTCCCCGCCATCGACGCCTTTCAACTCCAACTGACGCCTTTGAACTCCACCCCGACGTTCGCTCGTATGGAATGGCCCTCAGAGGACGACCCGGAGCTGCACGCGCTCCACAAGGAACGCATACAGCAGATGAAGGAAGAGCAAGAGAAGCGGAAGGTTATGGAGAGCAAAGGGCACGGGACGTACGCGGACGTGAACGAGGGAGAATTTCTTCCCGAGGTTACGGGCGCGTTTCAGGCGCGTTCACGTTCGCAACCGGTCGCCATACGACCGCGTCGGCGTGGTGAACGCCGTTTCTTCTGAAGGACTTTTCTTCTCTCCCGGCGTGTGTTTCTCTCCGCCCACCACCCCTCGCCGCTTTCAATCCCGACACACCTGCGCGATGTTGCCTTTCAACTCCTCCGACTGACGCCTTTGCGCGGACCGTCGACGCTCAGGTGTGCGTGCACTTTTACCACCAAGAGTTCGAGCGGTGCCGGATCGTGGACAAGCACATGCAGATATTAGCGCGGAAGTACTTCGACACCAAGTTTATAAAGTGCCACGCCCCGGATTTGCCCTTCTTCGTGACGAAGCTGAACGTGCAGGTGTTGCCGTGCATCATCTTTTTTCGAAACGGCGTCGCGTACGACCGAATCGTCGGATTCGAAGAGTTGGGTGCGTTCTGTTCTGTTCTGTTATGCGCGCGCGTTACGTTACGTTACGTTACGTTCGTTTTTCACCCATCCCCCCGTAGTCAAGTCAAGTCAATCGTTTCGTTTCTATATACGTTCGATCGCGCGCGTGGGTCCTTCCCCCCTTTCGACTGACCGATTCCCTTTCAACTGACTGAACTCGTCAGGCGCGAAGGACGACTTCGCGACGTCCAAGCTGGAAAACATGCTTCTCGCGGCGGGGGTGATTCAAACGCCGGAGAAGGGCGAGGACGACAGCGAGGACGAGGCGGACGTCATCGCGAAGGAACGCGCGAATAGGATCACGTACGGGTTCACGAAGTACAGCGACGACGAGGATTCGGACTTTGACTGACGACGACGGATGGTCACGCGGGGGGGACGAAAAAAATGATTCGCTCCATCTCCAGCCGTGTTTTAATAAAAGAAAAGTGTTGAGGTCTACTAGAGCGAGATAGCTTCCAGGTTGTCAAACACTCTTACTTACGCTCTAGTAGACCTCTATTTCTCAACAGGCAGTACCTTTCCCTCTTTCTTCTCGTGAAATCGTGGAATTACGTCGTGCCGTAGCAGTAACATTATTTGTTGACTTTCGAGCGAGAATTTTGCCGAGGCTCGATCGGCGAGCGCGACGGGGGGGAGCGGGAGACGGCGCGTCGCATCCGTTAAGCAAAAACGTACTTCCGTAAGCGTTTCAAATACATCTTCTTCTACTTTACGATACCCTCCGCGCCTCGCGCTGCGTTCGCGCCCCGCGCGCGACCTCCCGTCCCTCCGTCAATCCTCCCTCCCGTCGTCGTCACAAGAACATGTCGAGCTCGTGCCTTCGATACGCGCACTCGCCCTCGTCCTCCAGCTGCGGGTAGTGCGCCGCGAGCGCGTCTTGCGACCCGATGTACAACGCGTTATAAATCTTCCAGTACGTCTCCCGCACTTTCCTCGCCGGGTGAAACAACCCCTGCAGCGTGTACCCCAACACGAACCCGGGTCCCAAGCACACGCGCGCGCCGTCGATCGCCTCAGAAACGGCGTTGATGAGATGCGGACTCGTCTCGAAAACGTTCGGCCACGTGTAATTCAACAGATGCGTGATCGCGTCTTCGCATCCCAACCCGGCGCATCCCAACGCGAGGTGCTTCACCGTCACCGCCGCGGTCTGTCGATGCACCAAGTCACGGTCCATGAGCGCGTCCTCGAGCAGCGGCGTGACGGCGTAGACGTAGTCTTTGGGTCGAAGGTCCACACGAGCGATGACGTCGGGGTGGAGTCGAAAGGCGTCAGAAGCGGAGTTCAAAGGCGTCGAGGCGTGTGCGTCGGGATTGAAACTAGCGAGGGGTGATGGGCGGAGAGAAACATACGCCGGGAGAGAAAGTCCTTAAGGATCGGCGTCCACCACGCCGACGCGGTCGTATGGGGACCAGTGTGAAACTAGAACGCGCCTTTGCCCATCTCGCCGATGTACTCGAACAAAAACGCGAGCGACTTGAGGACGCCGTTTTGAATGTTCAACTCCGGCACGCGGTATTCGTTCATCAGCGCGGGCAGCACGGTGAACGGCGAGCACGTCTCCGCGACGATGGCGATCGCGACCGTCGTGCACACGCGATTCTGTCGCTCCTGCACTTTCAGGTTGTTTAGCAGCGTCGCGAGGACGTCTTGGGGCCCGATGGCTTTCGCGATGAATCCAAAGGTGTTCACGGTGGCGCGTCGAATAGCCTTCTTCGTCGCCTTGAGCATCTCGAGAAGTTCGAAACAGATGCGCATCCACTCGCGCGCGGGGACGAACTCCGCGCCGCGGTCCGCGATCCGCCCGACGAGGTCGATGCAGTTCTCTTGCACCTTCTCGTGCCTGTTCTTCAGGATCGGCGTCAGCCGCGGGAGGAGGTCCTTCACCGGCGGCGTCATCTTCGACATGCCGGTGACGTTGACGATGGACTTGAGCGCGCCGAGAATGGACCCGAGCACCTCCGGGTACTCCTCCCCGAGGTACTCGTACAACACCACGCCGAGGTGGCCCATGAGCTGCTCCTCCTCGCACGTTTTCATCACGCTCGCGACGCGCGCGATGAGATCCGCAGCCTGCTGCCGCACCTCCGCGGATTTGTTGTTCAGACGCCACTTGATCGTGCCGCAAATTTGGGGAAGATACGGCTTGGCCCTTGTCCCCAACGCGTTCACGACGGTTCCGAACCCGTCGAGCATGACGTCGCCGTCGTCGCCCGTCTGCTCCTGGAACGAATACAGGATGCCGTCCACGAGGAGCTCCTCCAGGCGCGCGTCCACGTCCGCGGTGCCGAGCTTTTCGATGACGCGCGTGATGGTCTCCATGACCATGCGTCTGTACGGCTCGCTCTCGTCTTTTAAATCCTCGACGACGCGTCCGACGATCTCGCTGACGCCAACCTTGAGCGCGATCTCGAGCGTCGTCTCCACGAGCTGCGTGTAGTTTCTGCGGTCGAGCGCCATGCGTCGGACCCAAAAGTTTTTGAAAAACTCCGGCATCACCTCGGTTCGGATGTACTCCGGCTCCACGCCGTCGGTGCCGACGCATTGCTTGACGACTTTGAGCGTGATTTTCTTCATCTCTTCGTCCGCGCTCGCAAACTCGCGGATGAGAATCACCATCACCTCGCGCGTATAATAGTTGGCATACATCGCGTCCATGAGCGGGATGATAAACCCGATGGCTTTCAAGAACGCGGCGAGGACTTTCCCTCTGTGCGCGCGGATGCCCTTCCACAGCGGCTTGAGGACGCTGTCGAAGGACTCGATGCCGTAGGGCGCCGCCGCCTCCGCGAGCGCGGCGACGGACAGCGCGGTGATCGTCCGCACTTTCTGGTTCTCGTCCGTGAGCCCGTGCTCGATGATCTCCACGAGGGATTTCAGGTGCGGAAGCACCGCGCAGCCGAGGAGGATGGCGATCTGTTGCGTGATCTTGACGCCGGTGTGACGCGCCTGCCACGACTTTTTGGACTGAGGGAAATTGTCCATACGAAGCGACGTCGGGGTGGAGTTGAAAGGCGTCAGAAGCGGAGTTGGAAGGCATCGATGGCGGGGATTGAAAGCGAGGGGTGGGCAGAGAGAGACGCGCCGGGTGAAAAAGTCCTTAAGAATCGGCGTTCACCACGCCAACGCGGTCGTATGGGGACCAGTGTAAGATAGAACGCACCTGACACACCGCCTTGAGAAACGGAAGCAACGCCGGCACGCCGAGCGCCTGCGCGACGACCGCGAACGCGCGCGCGGTCGTGTTCCGAACGTACTCGTCCACGTTGTCGATGTCCGGACGCATCGCGGCGATCATCGTCGCGAGCCCCGCGGCTTTCGCGAGGTTAGATATGATCTCCCGCCCTTCCACGCGCGCGTAGTAGTCCTCGTCGATGAGAAGAGGCTCGATGACGACGAGAATCTTGTGCACGTACGGTCGGACGAGGTCGTCGAGTTTGTACAGGATCCTGTCGATGACCTTCACGAGGAGGTGCCGCTCTTGGTCCTCCAGCGTGGGCGACATGAGGAGCGGGAGGATCTGATTGAACAGAGGCCCCGCGCCGAATTCTCGCGCCTTATCCGTCAGCTGCCGCAACGCCGATTTTCGCTGCGGCGGCGTCCCGTTCTTCACCTTGAGAAGCATCTTCATGATCTTCCTCTCTTTCTGTTCCTCCAACGACAGCTCCTCCTCCTCCGTCTCTTTCAGAAGCGGCGCGAAGTACTGGTAGTCCTCCGGCTTCATGTTCGGCAAACCCTCGGGCATCTCCGGGACGTCGAAAACCTGGCCGCGATCTTCATCCGGGAGCTGGTAAAACCCCCCCGCTCCTCCCGGCGTCGCGCCGCCGTACGGCGCCGGCGTCGCGAGCAGCTTCCTCGCGGGCGTGCGTATCGGGACGTACGACGCCGGCGGCTCTAAAATTTTATACCCCTCGCTCGGGAGCATCGCGTCCAGGTCCTCGTCCGAGAGCGGTCGGTTGCGCGCCTGGAGTTGAAAGGCGTCAGAAGCGGAGTTGAAAGGCGTCGAGGGCGGGTATTGAAAGCGAGGGGTGGGCGGAGAGATGCGCCGGGCAAAGTCCTTAAGGATCGGCGTTCACCACGCCATCGCGGTTGTATGGGAACCAGTGTATAGAACGCGCCTCCACCTCGCGTTCCCAACGCATCGCGTTGTACTGCTCGGGCGTCAGCGGCTGCCCCGCCTGCGCCGCCGTCGCCGCCGCGAGCGCGCGCGCGTCCGGGGTCTGCGCGCCGTACGCGAGCTGGTCCGGGCCGGGGGTGGCGCCGCCGTCGAGGACGAGCGGCGTCGCCGCGCCCGCGAGGATAGACGGCGTCTCGCCGAGACCCGCCGACTGAGGCGCGTTCCATCGTTCAAAGCGACGTCGGGGTGGAGTTGAAAGGCGTCAGAAGGAGCGGAGTTGAAAGGCGTCGAGGTGTGTGCGTCGGGATTGAAACCAGCGAGGGGTGATGGGCGGAGAGAAACACACGCCGGGAGAGAAAGTCCTTAAGAGACGGCGTTCACCGCGCGAAGAACGCGGTCGTACGGGGACCGGCGTGAGAAGGTAGAGAACGCGCCTGACGCTTCAGCAGCGGCGTCTCGTCCCAGCGCGAGCGGTTGCGCTTCGGCGTGGGCTGCGCGACGGCCGTCGGGTGCACCGGCGTCGCGCCCCAGTCGCCGCCCTGGCGCGCGGCCGCGTCCGCGCCGCCGCCGTCCTCCCACTCCAACTCCGCGGCGGACGCCGCGAATTCAGCCTTCGGCGTCGCCGAGTCGTCCGCGGCGGCGGAGTCCCAGCGGTTCCTTCGGCGCTTCGCCGCGGGCTCCGGCTCCGCGAGCGCCGCCGCCGCCGCGACCGGCGCGGCGGCGTCGGCGGCGTCGATCGCGCCGCCGCCCGCCGCCGCGAGCCTTCTCGCGTCCGCGGCGGCTCTCTCCGCCTCTTCCCTCTTCTTCTGCGCGATCTGTCTCATCGTGTTGTCCCGCTCGCGATCCAGCGCCGCCTCCTTCATCCTGTCCGCGTACGTGGACGTCCCAGCGTCATTCGCCGCGCCCGCGTCGTTACCCCCCTGCGGCGCCGCGAAGGCGTCGTGCCGCGTCGGCGACAGCGTGCGGTTCAGCCGCCGTTTGCTGTAATCGGATTCGCGATCAATGATTCTCTTGGATCCGCCAAAGTGCGCGCCGACGACCTGTTCGTCGTCCTCCACCTCGCCTCGCGGGAGGTCGTCCATGATCGCCTTGGGCGCGGTGAACGAGCTCAGCGCGGCTTTTTTTCTGCGGACGGAATCAAAGGGGCGCGGGGTGTCGCGGACGGAGTGGAGTGGAGTGGAGGTCAGAGGCGCGCGCGGGCGGCGAGCGGGCGGATAGAGGATGGATCGAAGAGGGAGGGAGCGATCGCGAGATCGATTCATTCGATCGCGAGATCGCGGGCGGGACGATCGGTCGCGCGCGCACCTCACGGGTTCGTCGTCCTCGGGGTCTTCTTCGTCTCTGATCTCCGTGTCGTACCCCGCTTTGGACGCCGCGAGGGCGGCCGCGGCCTTGCGCTCCGCCTGCAGGCGCGCGATCTCGTCGTCTTCCTCCGCGGGAGGCGCCATGACGACGAACGACGAACGACGCGCGCTGCGCTCGAACGATTCCCTCCCGCGCGCCGCGAAGGGTGCGGACCGATCGCCGCCGCCGCGCCTCCTCTCTCGCGGTCCGAAGCGCGCGTCGGTTCGGTTGGAAGAACGCGCCCGCGCGGTCTCTTCGTCGCCGCGACGCGCGTCTCGGGCGCGCTCGCTTCTGACTGACGACGCGGGCGTCGAGCCGTCAACCCTAACCAGGCCAGGCCGCGAGTTCGCGTTCGCCCGGCGAGGCCAAATTCTCGGTTCGGAGCGTCTCGGCTCCATTCCGAGCGCGACGCCAAGGCGCGCGCGCACGCGACGCGCACGCCTCGCGAAGAGAGACCGCGGCGGTCGCGACGCGATCCGCGCGGCGAGGCGCGCGCGCTCGCGAGCGCGCGAAGAAGAAGAGAACCCCGGCCGAGCGGGCGCGAGGAGGAGGAAGGCGGCGCGCGGCGGTGAGAGAGGTGCCGACGAGAGAAGCGGCGAGGGAGGGAAGCGATACATTAATTTCGACGACGCGCGCCCCGTCGTCGTCGCCGCCGCCGCCGCCGCCGCCGCCATGGCCATCTACGTCAAGGCCTTCTCGCTCGTCCTGAAGACCGCGTCGAAGCCGCTCGCGAAGAAAGTGAAGGAGATCACGATCCAGAGCCCGACGGTCAGAGAGTTCATGATCCGAACCGCGCTGCGCGTGGACCGACTCAATCAGGCGCGTTCTATCATCACACTGGTCCCCATACGACCCCGTCGGCGCGGTGAACGCGATTCCTTAAGGACTTTTGCCGTCGTCTCTCTCCGCCCACGTCACGGTTTCAATCCCGACACACCTCGACGCCTTTCAACTCCACCCCTGACGCCTTTCAACTTCACCCCGACGTACGTCGCTTCGCGCGGCGCGACCCTCGTCAGTCGATCATGTCCCCGGTGGACGCGGCGCCGGCGCTGTCTCCCGGCGGCCGCCGAATGAAGATACAGACGAAGGACCCTAAGCCGAGGGTGATGTCCCCGGACCAGGCGCTGACCGCGGCCGCGGACTTCCTCGGCGAGGCGTTCGTTTTCGCCGTCGCGGGAGGGCTGGTGTGGTGGGAAGCCGGCAAGAGCCAGGCGCGTTCTGATTCCTCACACTGGTTCCCATACGACCCCGTTCGCGTCGTGGACGCCGTTCCTTGAGGACTTCCTTTATCTCCCGGCGCCCTCTCCGTCGCTCTCTGTCGTCCAATGAAACGTCCACGTCATCAAATAACTAACCAATGACATCACTTCCCGCCACATCACCCACCAATCGAACGCGAACGACCCTCAGGCGAAGGACGACGCCAAGGCGGCGGCGGCGGCGGCGGAGCGCGAGGACCTCGCGCGGCTCTTGGGGCTGCAACAGCGCGCGCTGAGGGAGCTGACGGAGGTTGTGAGGGAGATTGGGGAGTTCAGGCACGGCGGGGGGGGGAGCGCGGCGGGATGACGACGAGGCCTTTGGTGGTGCCTCCAGTAAGTAGTCTATCTTTAACACGAAGACGACGACGAAGCGTAAGCGTGTCATCATTTTCTGAAAAAGTTTCGACCAGGCACTTCAACCAACTCTTCTCGAACCTCTCGGAAACCTCGACGAATGGATCGATCAGTCCGCGTCGCGCGCTCGACGCACCGCGTCCCGGTCGTCGCCAGGACGACATCATGGCGGACGCGGAGAATAAGCCGAAGAAGGACAAGAAGAAGAAGGAGAAGCGCGAGCGCGGCGACGGGAAAGTAGACGAGCGCGGCGTCAAATCGTCGAAGACGTCGAACCCGTCGAAGTCGGCGGCGGCGAAGAAGAAGAAGAAGCCGCCGTCGGACGCGCCGTCGTCCGCGCCGCCGGTCGCCGCCGCCCCGGTCCCGGTCGGGAAGGCGGCGCGCAAGCGCCACCTCGTCCGGTGGTTCCGCGACGCGCTCGCGGACGCGACCGACGACGCCGTCCGCGTCGACTTCCTCGCCGCGCGCGATTACGCCTCGGTCGCGAACGTGATTCGGTCGCGCGCGCGCGCGCTCGAACGCCGCGACGCGTCAAAGTCGCACGCGGAGGCGATTCGATTGCTCGACAACAAAGGGCACTTCCTGAACATCGTGGACCAGTGCGTGGAGAAGAAGGAGGAGGAGGAGGCGAGCGCCGCCGCCGCCGCGGTGGCCGAAACCAACCGAGCGCATTGGGAAAACGTGAAACGCCGGCACCGCGCGAAGGCGCGTCCGCGTCCCGGTTCACACTGGTCCCCATACGACCGCGTCGGCGTGGTGAACGCCGATCCTTAAGGACTTTCTTTATCTCCCGGCGTATGTTTCTCACCGCCCACCTCTCGGTTTGAATCCCGACACACCTCCCTCGACGCCTTTCAACTCCGACGACTTCTGACGTCTTTCAACTCCGCCCCGACATCATCGCTCGTATGGACAATTACCCAAAGTTCGAAAAGGCGGGCGGCGCGGATGGCGTCGCGGAGAAGAAACGCGCGGCGAGGGAGGCGAAGGAGGCGCACCGTCTGGCGCAGCGCGAGCGCGAGGCGCGCGAAGCTTCGCTCAAGGCGCTCGCCGCGGACAGGAAGGAGTATAAGCGTCGAAAGGACGAGTGTCGCCTCAAGGGCGCGTGCCTCGACTGGTGCAACGTCGGGAAGTGTCACTTCGGGAGCGAGTGTCAGGTGCGTTCTATACATACGTGTTTCACCCATCGCCCGGTTTCAACATTTGATCGCGTGGGCCCCTTTCAACTGACCGGTGAACTTGTTTTGTATGGAACGACCCTCAGTTCGAGCACGTGGACGAGATGAGAGGGACGCTCGTGGAGCTCGCGAAGAGGATCGACGCCGCGGACGTGGGCGGGAAGAAGGGGATAGTCAAGAACGCGGAGGAAGCGGAGCGACGCCGACGAGGGAAGTCGACGAAGAAGGATAAGGACGGGAAGGAAAAAAAAGAAAACGGCGGCGGCGACGAGAGCGACGAGAGCGAGGACAGTTTCGATCGCGCCGGCCGCGCCGGCGACGCGAGCGACAGCGACATCGACAGCGACGACGCGAGCGACGGCGACGGCGACGCCTCCGCGAAGAAGAAGAAGAAGGAGAAGAAGAAGGAGAAGAAGAAGGTCCTCAGGCGCGTTCTATACACTGGTTCCCATACGACCGCGTCGGCGCGGTGAACGCCGATCCTTAAGGACTTTGCCCGGCGCATCTCCCCGCCCGCCCACCGCTTTCAATCCCCGCCCGCGTTTCCTTTCAACTCCGCTTCTGACGCCTATGAACTCCACCCCGACATTCGCTCGTATGGACCCTCGACCCTCAGCGTCCTCCCCGGAGACGACGGCTCCGACGACGACGACGGCTCCGACGACGACGCCAGACTGCCGCGGATGGTTCAGATGCGAAGGGCGAAGATCCGCGAGGAGGAGCGCGAGCTCAAGGCGGCGAGGGCGAAGGAGAGAGAGATCGAGCGCGCGAAGGCGGCGGCGTTGGCGAGGAAGCGCGAGGAGCGGCTGGGAGGGGGCGGAGCGCGCCGCGCGAGGGAGAGAGGCGGGGGAGAACGGGGGACGCCGCCGGGCCGCGGCGGCCGCGGCGGCGGCGGCGGCGGCGGTCGCGGCGGGAGAGACGGTGGTGGAAGAGGCGGTAGCGGCGGCGGCGGCGGCGGCGGTCGCGGCGTGAAACGGCCGTACCAAAGCGGTTACCCGGGCGGCGACCGCGACGGCGGCGGCGGCGGCGGCGGCGGCGCGAAGAAAAAAAAACCGAGACACGCGGACGGGAGACACGCGAAGCACGCCGCCGCGCACGCGGCGAGGTTGGGAGGCGCGGCGCGTGAATGAATGAATGAATGAAGGATTGATGAAACGCATCATCGCTACGAGCCGTTAGTGTTAGTTATATCGTTTGGTCGTTATTTCTATTATTCGTCTCCGCCGTCGCCGTCGTCGTCGTCGTCGCTCTCGTCGTCCTCGTCGTCTGAGGGCAATTCCATACAAAAATTGTTCATCGGTCAGTTGAAAGAAGACGCGATCAAATGTTGAAACCGGGCGATGGGTGAAAAACGTTTGTATAGAACGCACCTGAATTCGGCTCCTTCTCGCTCTCCGGCTCGCTCTCGTACTCCACGTCCAGCGCCTCTTTGTTCCTGCGCTTCATCGCGACGATCTCCGCGACGCGCACGCGGTTCCGATCCCGTTCCCAGTCCCTGATGCCGTCGATGAGCTCGTCCAGCCGTCGCCTCTCTTCCTTCGCGAGCTGATGAGGGTCGAGGGTCCATCGTTTAAAGCGACGAACGTCGGGGCGGAGTCGAAAGGCGTCAGAAGCGGAGTTGAAAGGCGTCGCGGTGCGTCGGGATTGAAACCAGCGAGGGGCGGTGGGCGGAGAGAAACAAACGACGGGAAGAAAAGTCCTTAAGAATCGGCGTTCACCACGCGAACGCGGTCGTATGGGGACCAGTGTGATGAACCAGGACGCGCCTTATCCTCCAACGCGTCGATGGCGGAGGCGTGAAAATCGTGATGCGACTGCACCGAATTCATGAACGTGTCCTTATCCCCGAGGAGGAGCTTCGTGTCCTCGGAGCACGCGTCGTCGAGCTCGCCGCTGCCGAACCGCTCGTACACGCGCATCGCTTCCTCTTGCAGCCCGGCGAAGTAGTTCTCCTCGAGCTCGCGAATCTTTTCGAAAAATTCAGTTATGATCGTCTTGCTCTTGCTCACGATCTCGGTGTACTCGCGGTCAAACTCAAACACGAGGTCTTTGACGATCTCGACGTTCCGCAGCTCCATGTCCATGAGTTCCTGACACAGGTCGTCGGACCGCGTATCGAGCGCGGTGACGATCTCTTCCCCCTCCGCGAGCTCCACCATAACCCCGTACGTCTGAGGGCCGTTCCATACAAAAACAGTTCTGCGGTCAGTTGAAAGGGGACGCGATCAAATGTTGAAACCGGGCGGTGGGTAAAAAACGTTTGTATAGAACGCACCTGAAACGCGCGCTTCCGGTCGTCCTCCAACGCGGCGACGGCGACTCTCGCGCGCTCGTCGCCTTCGCCCAACGCCCCGTCCACGACCGTTTTCCATTCCGAGTGCTCCTTCTTCTTCCTCTCTAACTGCCGCGCCATAGCGTCCTTGAACTCCTCCACGAACACGATCCACTTCTCGCGAAACATCGGCAGCTCCTGCATCAACTCGGGGTGCTCCGGATTGGGCACCTCCTGCGAGGGTCAAAGAGGGTCGATCGTGGGTGGCGGGGTGAAGCGATCGGTCAGTCGAACGTCTTACCGGTCAAACGTTGAAAGGGAAGCGCGGGTGAAGAGTGACGACGGGGAAAGTCCTTAAGGAATGGCGTTCACCACGCGTCAACGCGGTCGTATGGGGACCAGTGTGAAACTAGAACCAGGACGCGCCTTCAGCTTGGCGTACTCCGGGTCGTCGCGCATCATCCGCTCGAACAGCTCGCTGATGCCGCTGACGTTCGCCTCGACGTACGTCGCCTCCCTCGCGGCAGCCTCTTTCTCTAGTAACGCCTTATGCGCGTCCGTTTCTTCCCGCTCCTCGAGTTCGATCATCTCGTCTTGGTACTGCTCGCGAGCCGCCGCCGCGTGCTCCTCTTTCACCACGCGATGATCTAAGGGTGGAGTTGAAAGGCGTCAGAAGCGGAGTTGAAAGGTACCGAGGGCGGGGATTGAAAGCGAGGGACCCTGAGCGGAGAGATGCGCCGGGAGATAAAGTCCTTAAGGATCGGCGTTCACCGCGCCGACGGACGCGGTCCTATGGGGACCGGCGTAACTAGCTAGAACGCACCTAGGTACTTCAACCCTTTGACGTGCGACAGTACGAACGCGCGGTACTCCGGGTCCTTACACGCGCCGTTCCCGCCGAGGTTGAGCACCCTGATATCCTTGAACGCGGTCAGCGGGGACAGCTGCTCCAGCTCGTCGAGCTCGTTGTTCCCGAGCGAGAGCGTCGAGAGCGTCTTCCTGAACGCATCCATCCCTTCGATCGTTCTGATCTTGTTGTTGAACAGCGAGAGGTCGTTCAGCTTCGTCAGCGCGTCCAGGTTTTCGATCTTCGTAATCTCGTTGAACGACAGGTCGAGCCGCTCCAAGTGCGTGAGGTGCGACAGGTTCTCGATCACCCTGATGCGGTTGTTGTCCAGGCAAAGCTTCGTGAGCGACGCGAACGGCGCGAGGTGCGCGATGCGGTCCAGACGGCAGAAGGACAGCGCGACGTGCTTGGCGTCTTTGAACTGCACCGCGCGGCGCTTCGCGTCCAAGTGCTCCGGCGCGCCGTCCACCTGACGGAGTGGAGTGGAGCGGAGAGGAGGGAGGAGGGGTGAGCGAGCGCCGACGACGACGACGACGACGACGACGACTTTCGGGGAGGGGAATGACTCATTCTTCTTCGCTTCGCGCGAGAGGCGACGCGCGGGAAGAAGCGGACCTGGATCCCCGCGAGCGCCATCGTCGCGTTGATGACGTGCGCTTCATCGTTGTTGAGAGGCTCGTCCAGGTTCAGCGGTTTCGCCTTCACCATCGCGAGCGGAGGACCCGACCCGCCCGGGAGGGGTCGCGCGCGAACGAATGGCCCGCCCGTTTTGGCAGTCTGATGATGAGATTGCATTTTCTCACACGCATTTAGATGAAGGCGAAAAACAAAAAAATGTCTGGGACGACGACGACGACGAGAGAAGATCTCACGCGCGCGTTACCGTCGAGGACTCTTTCGTAATACTGTAGTATCATAAAAGCAAAAAAAACAAACGCGCGCTGCCACTGATAAACTGACGAGAGCTCTCTCGTCTCGTGAAAGGCCCCGTCCGTCGCGAAATAAGATGACTCTATTCCGAACGCGCGGCGTACGACGTGAAGTGCATCTCCTTGCAGTCGATCCCCACCATCGCCTCGCCGAGCCCCTGGGACACCTCCGCGAGGATCTTCGGGTCGTTGTAGTGCGTCACCGCCTGCACGATGGCGCGCGCGCGCTTCGCCGGCTCGCCGGATTTGAAGATGCCGGATCCGACGAAGACGCCGTCCATGCCCAGCTGCATCATGAGCGCGGCGTCCGCGGGCGTCGCGACGCCCCCCGCGGCGAAGTTCACGACGGGGAGGCGCCCGAGCGTCTTCGTCTGGCGCACGAGCTCGAGCGGCGCGCGGATCTCCTTCGCGTACACGAAGATCTCATCCTCGGACATGGCCTGAAGGCGTCGAATGTCGCCCATGACGGCGCGGCAGTGGCGCACCGCCTCGACGACGTTCCCGGTGCCAGCCTCGCCTGAGGGTAATTGTGCATACGAGCGAACGTCGGGGTGGAGTTCAAAGGCGTCAGAAGCGGAGTTGAAAGGCGGCGAGGGCGGGGATTGAAAGCGGGCGGTGGGCGGAGAGAACCGCCGGGAAAAGTCCTTAAGGATCGGCGTTCACCACGCCGACGCGGTCGTATGGGGACCAGTGTACGGGACGCGCCCTTCGTGCGGATCATGCTGCACCCCTCCGCGACGCGGCGCAAAGCCTCGCCGAGGTCGCGGCAGCCGCACAGCACGGGCACCTTGAAGTTATGCTTGTTGATGTGGTTGATCTCATCCGCGGGCGTGAGCACCTCGCTCTCGTCGATGTAGTCGATGCCGACGGCTTCCAGGATCTGAGGGTCGTTCCATACGAGCGAACGTCGGGGTGGAGTTGAAAGGCGTTAGTTGGCGTTGAAAGGCGTCGAGGGCGGGGATTGAAAGCGAGGGGTGGGCGGAGAGAGACGACGGCAAAAGTCCTTAAGGATCGGCGTTCACCTCGCGAACGGGGTCGTATGGGGACTAGTGTATAGAACGCGCCTGCGCCTCGACGAAGTGTCCGATGCGCGCCTTCGCCATGACCGGGATGGTGACTGCCTCCTTGATCGCCTTGATCATCGTCGGGTCGGACATGCGCGCGACGCCGCCGTCCTTGCGGATGTCCGCGGGGACGCGCTCGAGCGCCATGACGGCGACGGCGCCCGCTTCCTCCGCGATGCGCGCTTGCTCCACGTTGACGACGTCCATGATGACCCCGCCCTTGAGCATCTGTTGGCGGCGGGCGGTGATGAGGAGGGTTTGAGGGTGTGCGTGGTCAGGGTAAGGTGTTAGGGTTAGGGTTAGGGTTCGCGCGTCGCGCGCGGGCGGCACCTTCGGGGCGAGGTTCGAACGAAAGATTGACCGACAGATCGCGCGACGGCGATCGAGCGAGCGAGCGAGCGCTCGTCGACGATGACGTCACGACTCGGAAAAAGCGCGTCGGCGCGACGCCGACGGATCTCCGCGCGCGGGCGCTCGCGCGACGTGCGCGCGCGCGACCGCGCGACGGATTCTCGTTCCCGACGCCACGGCGAGTTCGAGCGCGGCCGCGGCGAGACGCGACGGCGGACGCGACGCGCGGGACCGCGGAGAGATCCCGACGCGTCGCGGGAGGAAAACGCGATTGCAAGCTGTACGCGGCACCCCCGTCCCCGAGACTTTTCCGCGCGGCGCGCGGCGGCGTCGGAAACGCCGCGGCCGCGAGCGACGCGACGCGAGCGGCGCGCGATTCGCACCTGCGCGAGGCCGACCTTGACGGCGAACGTTCCCTTCTGCATCTCGCTGGCCATGTCGAGCGTGTGTGCGGTCGTGCGGTGCGACGCGCGCGTCGGTGTGTCCGCGCCGACGTTTCGTGAGATGGGGCCGACGTGGCCGCGGAGAACCCCAGATTTTCGGCGTGCCATGCCACTCGGTACACAGCTACGAAGGTACACACCTTCGGTACAGTAGGGCCTACCTGCAACTTACGCGCCTCTCGAACTACTTTCGTACCTTCGTACGAAAGTACTTTCGTACTTTCGTACTTTTGTAAAGTACATACTGTTTCGTACGAAAGTACTTTCGAAAGTACTTTCGTACTTTCGTACGAAAGTACGAAATAAAGTACTTTCGTACTTTGTACGAAAGTACATGTACATTTTTATTACGTGTAATCATTTACAGTACGTGTACAATATTTATTTTTACAGTAGAGGGTTTTAGTAGCAAAATCGGGTCTAAAATCGGGTGGAAAATCGGGTCACCCCACCCGATTTTAGACCCGATTTTGCAACGACCCACCCGAATTCGGGTGAACCCACCCGATTTTAAAACCGGGTGGGTCAAAATCGGGTCTAAAATCGGGTGGGTACGAAACCTGAAATGACGGTTTAAATCGTCGCGTTTTATTAAATCGTCAATGATGAGAGAGGAGAACTTTTTTTGTTGAAAGTTGCGTCCGGCCCTGTTCGAGCGCTGATTACGTCGTGATCATCACAGCGAGCGGTGCAATGTTTTTGAATGGGTCGACGCATCGTGGTGTTTCGAGTAAATTCTTTGCGGACGACGTCGGCGTTTGTGACGCTCCCGCGACTCCAGCAGCGCGCGAACGCCCGCGGGTACCCCTTTCAAACGACCGAAGGAGACCC